ATAATACTGTATCAGATAATTTCCCAAATTTATATCAAGAGGTATCAGTTTCTTGAGAAAAGTCAAGAAAAAAAGAATTCTGGGGCCAGGTCAATCAGAGAGAGTTTGCCTTTTCTCTATTCCTTTGATGAAGTGAGTGATATGATGGTAAATGTTTAATGACTGGATATCTGGGAGAAACACCCGGACTTGTAAGGTCTTCCAATTTATGTGGCATAAGTACTCCTATTATGGCTGATTTCAAGCTGCCAATATGATACCATCAAACATGGAGTTGGTTACAGGTATGCAGTAGCTCAACATTATATAGTATTTCTACCATAGAGACACAGTAGACATAAACCTCAAGAGCATAGATAACAGTAAGCGTTAATAGTAAAAGGAAGTGATGAGTTTTGAGGATTTATTACTGTTATTCATAATATCCTTTAAGAAGTAAATGATATAATTTAATGTTTAATGATGACTGTGTTAAACAACTGGCTCCTACAATTTCTGAACATTTTGCAAATAGCCGTCCAGAGTCCACAAGAGCCAACTCCAGCTTACCACTTAAAGAGTATTTCGTAGCTCAGACATTCCTAGAGAAAGCCTCTAATCCGTCTACCATGGTTGTGGTGTCTCTTTCGACCCTGTTAGCCATGTCCCAGGAGGTGAACCTGGCTATAGAAACCTAATAGAAGAGAAGTTTCTGTAGGAAAATTGGCTTATTGGTTGGGTATACCCCCTAAAACGTACTGCAATCCCTATTTTATCTATGACTCTATCCCCCAAGCAATTATTAAAATAGTATTCCTAAGAGACTGCACAAGAAATGTGTTTTGAGCAACTGGGCATCCATAGTCAGTACAAAGAAGATAGAGTTGGTAATGGTCATCTGTGATGGTGGTTTCACACCTTTCTGCATGTATACTGTTTTAGGGATTTAAAAAATATACTATCCCAGCATCTTTTTAGGTAGACATCTCTAAGTTTGGACATTTGCAAAGAATGCAATTTCTGGTGAAAGAATGCAATGTTGGGACTTATTTTTTAAAAATTATATTACTCATTTAAATGTATATAATGTAACCTAAATGTCAAACCTATTTAATACTCAGTATCATTCAGTTAATAAATGTACAAACCATTTGCATCATTGCTTTTTCTCCTTGAATTCATATTTCTATTCCCTACAACATTTTACCTAATAAAATATAGTTGATACTTGAAAGTCTTTCATTCATCAATCTATAGAAATCAGCTTATACTTGAAAGTTCTTCATTGATCAATCTATATTTTTCCATAAAAATGTATATGTATGTCCTAGATTTAGTTATCTTTACAATTATCAATAATGAGAAAGTCAGCTCTGCTGGAAGCCAAGACCATACTGCAGCTCTAAGAAGTATTTTGAAGTGATTGCTACTTTCTTACTAATGACCTCCAAACTCCACTTCCTTCCTCTGTTTTTCTCATTTCTTTAACAGAATTACTAAGGTACCCAATTGTTAAACTATCTAGCTTCTTGACATTATACGATACAAATATGGCCCTGCTTCTCTTAGCTCTCCTTAAAATCTAGCACAAGCCCAAATCTTAGAAGAAACTCCTCTCAACTCCCTCTTAGCAATACCCCATGGTTTCCTTGGTCTGTGCTCTCCTCGACTTGGAAAAACTAAATAAATCTAACTTTGACTTGGTATTCTCCTGGTAGCCTTTAACTGGTAGTTTCAACAATAGGTACACTTAACACAATATAAATACATCACAATTGTTTAAGCGAATATAATATTTGTTGAAAATGCATCTCTTGGCCGGGCGCAGTGGCTCACGCCTGTAATCCCAGCAGTTTGGGAAGCTGAGGCGGGCAGATCACTTGAAGCCAGGAATTAGAGAGCACTCTGGCCAACTAGGTGAAACCCTGTTTCTATTAAAAAAACAAACGAACAAAAAATTAGCCAGGCATGCCGCTGCACACCTGTAATCCCAGCTACTTGGGAGGCTAAGACAGGAGAATCACTTGAACTGGGAGGCAGAGGTTGCAATGAGCAGACATCATGCCACTGCACTATAGCCTAGGCAACAGGGTAAGACTCTGTCAAAAAAAGAAAAGAAAAAAAGTAAAGAAAAGAAAAGAAAGAAAGAAAAGGAAGGGAGGGAGGGAGAGAAAGAAAGAAAAAGAAAGGAAGGAAGGAAAGAAAAGAAAAGAGAGAGAGGGAGGGAGGGATGTCTCTTAATGACAAATACAGCTCCTCCCATATTAGTTCATGTATCCATAGATAGCTATTACTTATTGCTAGGTTATTATTCATTGTCAAGTATACTATTGCATTTTAATTTTATATTATGTAAGCACTGAGAAAACTCTCCACGTATGAAAAAGTATGTCTTTTCAATATCATTCATTTTTTAGAATTCCTGAATTGTATGCAAAAATCACATTGATTCATCATCAAAAATTACTTTGAATGGTCAGCTGACCATTGGATTTGGTCCTCCAATTTTGTTGAAAGCAAAACATTGGAAACTGCCTGGTTTGCAGGAGGACTGTAATGAAAACATTAGTTATTTATTTGTCATCTAGACAACAAAATGTCAGATGTTGCAGAAATTTTTACACATGGTATGTACTTTAGTATATTCAGGATGTACACAGAATTATGCCTCTCCTTTGGAAGAAGAAAAGAACACTACATTTGTGAAGGGCAGCATGAATACAGTGGTTCTCAGCCAAACCAATTATAGCAAAGAATATATATGCAAGCTGTTAAATCAAGTTTAACCTAAAGCTACCTCCTTACATATTCTAAGTTCAGCCTAAAGGTTTCTCCCTACCTAGTGAACTAGAACCTAACTAGGTGTGTAAAGAAACTGCAACCTACTTATTCTTTGACACTATACAATACAAATCTGGCCCTGCTTCTCTTAGCTCTCCTTAAAATCTAGCACAAGCCTAAATCTTAGAAGACACTCCTCTCAACTCCCTCTTATCAATACACCATGGTTGTGCCAAACATCAAACATTTACTTTTAGCAAATCAGAGCTGGCCAACTGTTCAAACCATGTTCAAATAAAGCAAACAGTAAGCTGTAACTCATCTGGCTGTTTCTGTACTTCACTTCTGTTAAAAGAAAAATTTCAGCTGAATTAAATTTAAAAGAGTTTAATTGAGCAATCAAAGATTCGTGAATCAGGCAGCCTCCAGAATCATAGCAGATTCAGAGAGACTCCAGGGATGCTTAGTGGTCAGAACAAATATATAGACCAAAAAAAAAAGGGAAGTGATGTACAGAAATCAGAAGTGAGGTGCAGAAACAGCTGGAATGGTTACAGGTTGGCGTTTGCCTCATTTGAACTGTTTGAACACTCAACAGTGTACGAGTGATTGAAGTACGGCTGCTGGGATTGGCCAAGACTGAGCTAGGTACACGTGCTTACTTCTAAGTTAGGTTTTCAATCTTGTCTACCTGTTGTGAAAGGAAGATCTTGGTGCCCCCAAATTACTAAGTTAAAGGGGAAAGTAAAGCTGGGAACTGCTCAGGGCAAAACCTGCCTCTCATTCTATTCAAAGTAATTCCTCTGCTCACTGAGATAGATGCATATTCTGATTGTCTTCTTTGGAATGTCTTATCAGAAACTCAAAATAATGCAACTATTTGTCTCACACCTTCCTGTGAGCTGAAAACACCCTCCCTGCTTTGGGTTGTCCCCACCTTTCTGGAAGGAACCAATGTACATCTTAAATATATTGATTGATGTCTCATGTCTCCCTAAAATGTATGAAGTCAAGCTGTGCCCTACCTTGGCCACATGTCATCAAGACTTCCTGAGGCTGTGTCACTGGCACATGTCATTAACCCTGGCAAAATAAACTTTCTAAATTAATTGAGACCTGTCTCGAATTTTGGGGGTTCACACTGTTTAGTTAGGTAAACATTCCTCCACAAGGATTCAGATATAGAAGTACAGAGTCCTTCTCAGGCCATATTTAGTTTCTGTTTTCTGTACATTACTTTCCTTTTTCCATCCATAAATCTTCCACTAGGTGGCTGGCTGCGGTGGCGCTGCTCTGAGCCTATTCTGGTTTGGGGGGCTGTGATTTGTGAACCAACCTTTGCTCAACTAAACTCCATTAAATTTAATTTGTTTAAGGTTTTTCTTTTAACAAAGCTGAGGGTCTGGAAACTTAATCCCTTAAAATATCCCCTTCTGTGAAGACCTTGGAACACCTTGTACTCTAAAGCAGAGGCAGAAACGTAGCTGAGCATGCAACCAACTGCACCAAGAGGGATAAATGAACTGGATGAATTGCTCCAGTGTAGACAGTCAGAGGCATCCAAATAACAGATTTTACCAAGGGGGTCAACCACTCAAAATTCATGGTAGAGGCTTCCTTTCTCTAGACACAGCTTAATGAGTATCGTACAAATTCGCCTCAGACAATAGCCTTTTTTTTGCTTTTAGATACTTTCTTCAAGGGTGAAAGTATTTAATCAGGTTCTCTTGAAGCCCTGCGGCCTGGGGGAAGTCACTGATTTTTGCTAGTCTGTATGCATTGTTTTCGTACAGACTATACTCTTTTGCTCTCAGAGGCATCTCCTCCTACCCCGAGTCTCACACTACTGGGGTTTCATTTGTTTTAAATCTTGGTTGAAGGGGCTCTCTCTCTGGAAAGCACAAAAAAGACAACGGATCTGGCTCCAGTCCAGGACGGAAAGCATAACGCCTGATTCCTGAATAGGGTGTGCACAGGGAGAGCACGTAAGGTCTGCTCTCCGTGAGACTCAGCCTGGAGAGGCCTTGGAAATCTCTAGGTGTCAGTCCACGCAACCTCACCTGGCAAAGGGACCGCTTTGCCGCTCCAGACGCCACACTCAGGCCTCAGAACACAACACAACCTGCTAGATCCAGGAAGCCAAAGCACGCAGGCGCAAACAGAGACGCGGGAAGTAGAAGGCTAGCGGAACGGGCGCGCGCACGCGGCGTCCAGGCGAGGCGGGGGCGCGCGCTGAGCGCGGACGCTGAACCTCCGCCTTAGGGTTCGCTGGGTACTAGGGCGCTGCGCCCTCTGCCATGGCTCACAGACCGACAAGGAATTTTCGGCGGCGCGCGGCCGATTCCAGCGACAGCGATGGCGCTGAGGAGTCGCCTGCTGAGCCTGGGACGTCGAGGGAACTTGCGGCCCCGGGCCCCGCGGAAGAAGGGCCGCCCTCTGGAGAAGGCCGCGCGCAGGTGGCCGGACGGCCCCACCGGGTTCGGGGGCCTCGGGGCCGGGGGCCTCGGGGCCGGGGACGAGTCTGGGCGAGCTCCCGACGCGCCACGGAAGCGGCTCCCCGCGCGGACGAAGGCTCCGGCGTCCAAGGTGACGCGGGGAAGCGGGGAGGTGACGGCACGGGGCGGGAAGGGGCCGCGGGGTCTCTGGATCCTTCTCTAGGGGTTCTATAACTTGCTGCCGACCACCGGCCATGCAGTCATGTCCTGAATGTAGTGAGCGAGTAAACAGCTAGCCTGCGAGCACTTGCCCGCTGCCTGTGTCTGGCTTTTGGACTCCTTAGGGGAGAAAAAACAGTCCTATACAGTTTGGAAGTTCTTCGTTTTCACCATCAGTTGACTCCACTGGTTAACTGTGTTATCAAAGTTTGTGAAGAACCTAACTTGTCACAACGGAATTCAATAATTTCTAATACTATTAAGTAGGCAGAAGTTACATGTACGTTTTAGGCACTTGCCCAACTTATCTTTCTTGAAAACATTTAGCCAGAATCTAGGTTTTGGAACATTCCCCTTTGCTTTTCTTTTTTCACCAATTATTTGCAAAAACTAATAAAAATAATATATGCAACACGAAGGAGCATGACAGAGATTCATGACACTGTAGATTTTGCCAGTAATGGTGTTAAATATAGTGTTGTCATTTTGAAGTACGTTTGAGTTCTTAAATACAGGTTTAAGGCAGCCTAAAGTTGTTTACATAAAATGTGCTGCTCTGAGTTTGAATTGTAGCTTAATGAGGAATACAGTTTTTGGTTAGTCTTGAGATCTGAAATCTTCCTACTATTTTTTATTCTCATTAAAGTGATTTTTAATTTATTGAGAAGTAAAAATTGTGTATACTTACGGTGTACAGTATGATGTTCAAAATGTGTCTACAGTGGCTAAATGAAGCTGATTAACATTTGCATTACCTCAGATACTTTGTGGTGAGAACACTTAATAATCTACTGTTAGTAATTTTCAAGTATGCAGTGCATTGTTATTAACTTTAGTCACTGTGTTGTAGGATAGAATTCCTCTTGTCTGATTAAAATGTTGTGCCGTTTGACCAGTATCTCCCCAACCACCTTCAACCCCTAGGGACTCTCTGCTTCTGTGATTTCCGATTTCCACCTTTGTAGATTACACATTTGAGATCGTGAGATGTTTGTCTCTCTGTGCCTTTTTTATTTCACATAACATGATGTCCTCCAGGTTTATGATCTTCGTGATTTCTTGGTTTTCCTTGTGACCTTCTATTTGTCTAAAGTTTCCATAATTTTTGTCTCTTCTCTGGTTAAACTTTGTAGATGAAAATTGAAGTCAGGAGTTGTTTTCTCTTGCCTTCTAGAATAGTGGTTCTCAATTGGACCTCCTTTAGACTCTTAGAAATGATTAAGGATTCCAAAGAGCTTTTGTTTCAGTAGGTTATATCTATCAATATTTACCATACTAAAAACAAAAATAAAATGTATTAATTTATTTAAAAAATCTATTACATGTAAGAACAAATAAGATTTTTGTGAAAAAATATTTCCCAAAAAGGGTAGTAGCATTGTTTTCAATTTGCAGATGTCATTAATGTCTGGCAAAATATGAATAGAAGACAACTGAATCCTCATAGCTGTTTCTGCTTTTAATCTGTTGTGCTATGTTGTTTTGGTTGAAGAATTTGAAGAAAATACAGCCTCTGACAGATACATGGTTAAGACCAATACTTAATAGCCTTTTTAGATCATTGAGGATGTTGTGCTTTAATATGACAAAGCTCAAAGAGTAATAAACTAACCATTCTTAAAAGTTAGCTGCCCCATGTAATCTTAAATCATAGGATTAAATTTGGGGTATGCTTACATAAAACTCTGTTCTGTTTTGTACTTTGGATCTTTTACTCATGCACGATTGGTAACGTCTTGCATTATTTGGAAAGTTCATTACCTGAGTTTGCACATCTTGCAAATGTTGGAGCAGTTTATTGTACAACACCAAAAAAAAAAAAATCACTTAGTATTACCACTGATTAATCAGTCTTTAAATTGGAAAGCTGTTAGGTTCACAGTAGAAAATAGGTTTTTCAAAATCTCAATTTTCACTTGAAATCTCTTATTCTGGAAGTGATAGGCACAACTTAGCTCATGTCTGAGGAAATGTAAGATAGCCATTGTCTGAATAACTAGTTTGTTAGTCATTCTTTCAAGAAAATGATGCTTCTCCTTAAAAACAATGTCTAGTTCAGCTTGCAACACAGTCACACAAATGCTTTTCCGTAAGGCAGCCGTTACATATCAAGATGCAGCCAAAGTGCCTTATGCATATTTCCATTTTGTCACAAAGAATATTAAACACGTGTGTACTCAAGGGTCAAAATTTAATAAAATAAGAATTTTTTAATTACTTTATGAAGAGCAACTGGCTTTTATCTGCCAGTGTGCAGTGGTGAAAAATACCATAACTGCTACTACAAATTGATTCATGCTAAGGGGATAGCTGTTTTACCCACCGCTGCCTTTGCTTCTTTAGATAAATGTCAACATGGCAAAAACAACAAATAACATGTTAGTATTGTTATTAAAGTAGTTTTGATTTCCCAGACTCTCTGAAAGAGTCTCAAGGACCTCCAGGGATTGATAAACCATGCTTTGAGAACCACTGCTTTGGTGTTAATCCACTTTGGAAACAGGTATGGGTTGTCATAAATGGCAGTTATCTAAGAAAGATGTGAGCTGCAGCTATATTTTAAGTTTTGATTTTACTCTAGCCTTTTTTGAACTGTATGTAGGTCTTCTAACTAAGGTAGAAATTAAAATTAATGAGTACTATGTAATCTTATGTTTTAAGATTACTCATAAACGTGCAAATTTATTGTGGGTTAACAAATCCTTTCTTGGCAATAATGTTAAGAATTCCTTTATTTTGTTCACTCAATTTTCACAACACCCCTGTGGTTTTTATCTCGGTGTTATCTTTAACAGATTAATTGAATTTAACAGACTATGTGACCTTCCCAAGTCATGCACTGAAAAGATAAACCCATGGTTTAATTTTGACCAAAGTGCTCCTTACAATATTTCTTTCTACCAGCCATTGAACTATGGCATACTCTAAAGAGAGCCTAGACTCTGGAGTTGGATGGGATTAGGTTGAAAGCCCTGCCTCTCTACTCATTGTGTTGGTATTCTTTATTCTCTCCATCCTTAGTTCATCGGAAATAGTGTTTACTTTATAGAATTACGAGTATTAAATAAGTCATGTAAAACAGATTTCAATGTGCCTAGCACCTAGTATACATTAAATATTGTTTTTCTTTTCTACTTATTCACTATTATTACTTTTCTAAATATTTAATTTTTGTCTCTTTTTTTTCTCTAATGCCTGCTTCCCTCTTCTCATTACATCTTTTTGGAAATATATTATTAGATGCCTAGATAATACAGATAGGATCTTTGTACACTTAGTAGATCATTCAGTTGTTTAAGGAAGATGGGAAGTTGGAGGTAGATCAATATGTCTACTTTAATATGTGGAGTAGGTTTAAAACACCATATTATACATATGCCATGTGTTGTTCAGATTTTCAATTACTGATTCCATTATTTTGACCCTTATTATGTTTTTAAAATGTCCTGTTAGAATCCACAACAGTTGATGTGTCAACAGATGAAGAGGATGAAATACATCACTCCTCGGAAAGTAAGGGTGATCAGGGTTTGTCTTCTGACAGCTCTAGCTCTCTTGGAGAAAAAGAACTTTCATCAGCAGGTTAGTAATTTGTATGATTTTGGTTAAGAATTTTATTTTTAATACAGTGTTTTTGATATAGTTATCATTGATAACAAAACAAACTCTAGTGACATGGGGCAAGTAGGTTATTAATGATGGTTGTCAGAGTGCCCAACTTGACTGCCCATTTTTATTACACTTTGACATGCTTGTAAGTATCAGAGCTAGGATTTAAACCCAGTCTTTTCTAGAGCCTGTATTCTTCTTAACCAGTGTGCTGTACTGGGCGATTGACACTGATACCTGAAAGATGGTAAGAATTTGTCATGGAGGATGTTTCAGGTATAGGATGTAGCATATCTGAAACTCTATAGAGAAGGTATATAATATGTGCAGGAAACTAAAACTAGCTCTGTTTGGCTGAAAGTATTTGGTTGGGAGTTTAAGGAAAAGAAAACAGGAGAGACAAGTTGGAGTCATACTTATGCAGGGCTTAGGCAACCACTGAAAATTTTATGCGGATGACATGAACGTTTTTGTGTCTTAGAAAGATCAATGTAGTTCAGGGGTTGGCAAATCTGGCCCACCACCTGTTTTTGTAAACAAAGTTTTATTAAAACACAGTCCCAGTCTTTCAATTACTTATTGTTTGTGTTTTTGCACTGTAGTAGTAGAGTTAAGAAGTTGCAACAAAGACCTTATGGCCTGCAGAGTCAAAAATATTTATCTGGTCTCTTAGAGAGGTTTATAACTTGTTTTGTCCTTTTTCTGTGTAGTGAACCCTAAGATCCCTTATGAGAAAATAAAGTAAAATACGTAGCTTTGTAAGGGAAACAAATTATATTGAAATAAAATTATTAAAATATATTTTATAAGGCTTGTAATACAGTAGTAAGTGCTTCTTTATTAGCCTATTAAATAACAACAACCAGTAGCTCTGTAACCTTATAATTATTTTTTCTGCTCCATGTCCACAAGGTACAGAAATATTAAGTGATTAAGCCACTATTAAGAATTGAAATCTAATAAACAGTCGAAGCCTTGTCTAGATTCTGGATACAGTGCTATTCAGTAGAATTTTCTGTGGTTTAGAAAAATTTTCTATCTTCACTGTCCATATGGTAGCCAGTAGTCACGAGTGGCTGTTGAGCTCTTGAAATGTGGGACTGAGAAATTGTGCAATTGAGAAATTGAATTTTTACTTATACTTTAATAGTCACATCGGCCTAGTGACTACTGTAGCAAACAATGCTACTATACAAGATGGTGGATTAAACCAGGTGTGGTGGCTCACACCTGTAATCTCAGCACTTTGGGAGGCCGAGGCAGGGGGATCACCTGAGGTCAGGAGTTCAAGACCATCCTGGCCAACATGGTGAAAACCCGTTTCTGCTAAAAATACAAAAATTAGCTGGGCATGATGGCACGCACCTGTAATTCAGGGGGCTTGAACCTGAGAGGCAGAGGTTGCAGTGAGCCGAGATCACACCACTTCACTCCAGCCTGGGTGACAGAGCAAGACTCCATCTCAAACAAACAATCCAAAAAAGATGGTGTTGGTGTATTAAATAGCATAAAGAAGTGATTGTAAAGTGTTTTGGCAGCACTGCCCACCTAAGAAGAGAGGGCATCATTTGAAAATGTATGGGACCATTTTAATAATTATAGTGGCTGAGTTGTTGCTCGCACATAGTGCCCTGGAAGCAAGGGATGATAAATGTCCTACAGGAGTGCAGAACAGTTTGGCATGGTGAATTGCCCCTCCCCCATGCTCCATTGAGAAACACTGATTAAAAATTGAAAACTTGTCCTGTGAGGAACACTGGAAAGTTCAAAGGACTTATTGGCTAGAGAAGAAAAGATGGAGGAATGTGTTAATTTTAGGTGCTGGCATATGGAAGGAGAGCCTTTATTCTGTGCTCAGGTGATAGAACTATTAGAATAATTCAGTGATGGAATACCTGCCTTGAAATAGTCCCTCTAGCAGAGATTGCTTTTTACTAATAGGAGATGATAATTTACCTCTCAGCCCTAGATGATTGTATATCAGATAGGATGATGTATATGAAGAATTATTCATGAGTTGTAAATCTGTAAAAATATGATATATTTATTATTGAATGATATGCTGACCTTATTGATTCATCCCATGTCTGCCCACCATCTGCTGTGTGAGAACCGTTGAACTAGGTATTGGATATGCAGAAACAGGACAGATGGAATAATACTCTTCTCTTCTTTGAACTTTTACTTCTTTATTTTTGTTTGAGAGGTTACCTTTACATAGCACAAATATCTTACTAGTGAGTCCCATTACTTGTGACTTACTAATTAAACCCCACCAAGTCATTTGCAGGTGGATCACTTCCAAAATAAGTATTTCTGTGTCCTTATTCATACACCTGAGTATTTGAACCTAAATGTCTTATCTTAACCCTGCCTACACATTAAAATCCTTTAGGGAGCTATAAAAACATACTTCTGATTAGCTCTGCCTCAGATCAACATCTGAATCTCTGGTATGGAGGCCTGGGTATCAGTAGTTTGTCAAGCTTCTCAGATGACTCAGATGTGTAGCCAGGGTTGAGAATTTTTACCATAACCTGCTGTGATGATTTTGAATCTTAAATGCTTTGGAAGGAGGAAGAGATACCCGACCTTCATCATGTCCCTGACAGTAGTCTATAAATAAATACTAGTCTATAAAAAAGTAAATCACCTGATTTTATATTACTTGTTCTTGATAAATATTTATTGATTTCTAGTGATTTCTTTATTGCTTCATGATTCACTCAAGCACTTTTAATTTTCCCTAGGGCTGATGTCAAGCATATTGATCTGTGATTTCTAAAATCTCTTTTTTTGTTTGTTTTAGACATTGGAGCTTTTGTGCATCTCCAAGTACATGGCATTTTTCTGTTTATTTTTTAAACAATTTGGGTCAATTTGTGGGAACATTTAGAAAACTCACTTGAGCCTCAGTAGCTTGACATCTCTTTAGTAGTTTAAGTGCTTAAAATGGTGAAAATTTCTCTTGCCATTTCTTTAATGTAGTATTTTTCTTAAGAAACCGTTTTTTCGAGAATGAAGATAAATTTCGTCTTAGATCATGCATGAAGAATCTTGTTTTAAATTGTAAGAGTTTATGCTAATGATGTTTATACTGTACAAAACAAAGAAAAAAATAAGATAAGACTCTTAAGAGTTTATTTATGTCATTTAAAATTTTTGACTTGGTAAATGAGCCTGATTATTTTCTTTACACTTTGTAACGTCTCATGTATTCATATGGTGCTCACTACAGAACTGCAGAGGTTGACTTGGCTTTACTCTGTTGCTGTTTGTAGTCTGTTTCTGATTTCTTACAAGTGTGGGTACCCACAGGGAAGGAAGACATCGTAGTATAGTATCTCACTTACTTGGTAAGTCTGACTGGTCTTGTCATTGATTCTTTTAACTTCCGCAGCTCTCAGAAATACTTTAGGAAAATGATGCTTTTTTTCTTTTTCTTAAATGTGAGGAATATTTACTTATATTGGTCTTTTGTTTTTAGTGTCCTCCTCTTTGTTTCCTTCAGTTGAGATCCCAGATGCAGCCTTTATTCAGGCAGCTCGCAGAAAACGTGAATTGGCCAGGGTGCAAGATGACTATATTTCTTTGGATGTAGAACATGCCTCCACCATCTCTGGTATGAAGAAAGAGAGTGAAGACGACCCTGAGAGTGAGCCTGATGACCATGAAAAGAGAATACCATTTACCCTGAAACCTCAAACACTTAGACAAAGGATGGTTGAGGAATCACGTATGTATTTATCAATATATGAAGCTTAGGTTATTTTTCATTAGAATATAATATTATGAGAGAATCTCCATAAAAAATGTAATGTGCTGTCTCACACACATTGATTGTGTTGATATTGGTTTTTAATATCAATTTAGTCCGTGATATTATGACCTCTAAAGGATGTGTCTGTATCAAAATGTTATTATCAAGGAATATGTGTAATAATGGTTATTAATGCCTGACCCTCACTTGATCTTTTTTGACAGGTTAAAAAAAATGTGCAGTGTCTTATTTTCAAAACATTGAAAATGATCATTGTCACATTTATAAATTTTTTTTAACATGGAAGCATCTACAGAGATTTTAGATGTCATGTATTAAAATCTCTGCTATAATAAAAAATTCCTTCACATTTCTCATTTATAATATATGCATTTTACCAAGGTTTTTGTAACCTTAAATAATATTTTTTCAGAAAGAGACTTAGTTCCTTATCAACTTATTTTTAAGTGTTTTGATTCTCAGGTAGTAATTGAGAGATGTTTGGTAAGAAAAGCCAAACATTTCATTCTTTCTCAGTTTTTTGTTTGTTTGTTTGTTTTTTGTGACAAAGTTTCACTCTTGTTGCCCAGGCTGGAGTGCAATGACAATATCTCGGCTCACCACAACCTCCGCCTCCTAGGTTCAAGTAATTCTTCTGCCTCAGCCGGCCGAGTAGCTGGGATTACAGGCATGCGCCACCCCGCCTGGCTAACTTTGTATTTTTAGTAGAGACTGAGTTTCTCCATTTTGGTCAGGCTGGTCTCGAACTCCCTACTTCAGGTGATCCACCTTCCTCGGCCTCCCAAACTGCTGGGATTACATGCCTGAGCCACTGTGCCTGGCTCTTTCTCAGTTTTTTACATTTCTAGGGTTGTAGTGTTTTGAGTGGAACAGTTTAGTGATAAGAGGGCAGGTTCTGGAGTCAGATACCAGGATCCAACTTCCAGCTTCAACATAGTCTTAAGACAGTTATTTAACCTCCCAATATCTGAGTTTCCTAATTTGTGAAATGAGGGCGATAATAGTGCCTTCTTCCCAGAATTATTGTGAAGAATAAGTAACACACGTAAAGTGATACTAACTTGTATATAGTAAGCTCAAAAAATGTTGCCTGCGGCAATTAAATTGGAAAAATATTAAACGTTTACATGTGAACTTTTTTCCCCCTAGAAAACAGATATGAAGAAACAAGTGAAGAAAGTCAGGAGGATGAAAAGCAAGATATTTGGGTACAACAACAAATGAGGAAAGCAGTTAAAATCGTAGAGGTAATCATTGTTTATACCATGTATATTAGATTCCTGTGGCTGCTATAACAAATTACCACAAACTTGGTGACACAAAACTGTTGTTCATAGGGTGCCATACCCTGTTCATTGGGCGCCAGATGTTGGGAACCAGCCCAACCCCGTACGTGGGTGCTCTTAATGACGGCAGTGACGAGGGATTGAGAAAAGGAAATAAAGACAGAGACACAAGAGAAGTTACAGCATGGGTCCAGGGGACGAATGCAAGCGTGGAAAACATGTTGGCCCTGAGCTCTGGGCTCCAAACACTTTTATTATGTGCACAATCTCATTGATCTTATGGGCATGGAAAGGGAGGGTGAAGGAGTAGGTAAGGTAGCCAAGTGGAGAGAGCACTTGAGATCCTTCTAAGACATGCTAAAGGTACTCTGAGTTTATCACCGATTGTTATCACAGTGCAGCTGCATCAGAAGTATAGCAGATGAGGAGCCACCCTGTCTGACCACTCCCAATGCAACAAGGGGCTTTTATCTCCCGAGAATTGAGGACATAGAGCAATTAAAATCACTCCGTATTTTGAGAACCTAGTCAGAGCATGAGGTATTCTGTGATCTCTGCCCTGCAAGGCTTTCCTCCTCCTTGCCAGCTCCCTTCTGCAAAGACCCTCCCAGATCTTGTGAGCAGGAGTCGCCTGCCTTCTCAGAGATCTTTGCATAAGCCCTCTTTACAAGGCCCTTGTGCAGTCTCTATGTTGAGAAGGCATGTGTGAGACCACAGCAGTATCTTGCCTGCTCTGCAGCCACCGCGAAGTGTTACCTGTTGTTACTGTGCTCTCCGATGGTCTTTACCTTAGGCCTTCTGTTGCCACTTAATTTCTAATTAACTGCACCAATAATGTAGCTTAGTTTGGTACATAAACTTCTGTGTACTCTGAGCCAAGCAAGCTTATAATTATTTAGCTAGAATTAACATAGGTCTCCACCTGGCCATCTTGACCCACACAAAAAGAACAGACATTTATTCTCTCACAGCGTGGAGGCCAAAATCTGAAGTCAAGGTGTGGGCAGCACCTTGCTTCCTCCAAAGGCCCTGGGGTGTTGGGGGTAATTTTTCCTTGCTTTTTTCAACTTCTAGTCACTCCATGTGTTTCGTGCCTTGTGCTACGTAACTCCTATCTCTGCTTCTGTCTTCACGTGGGCTTTCTCCATGTCTCTACTGTGTGTTTTCCTCATAAGAATACTTGTCATTAGATTTAGGGCCCACTCAGATAATCCAAGGTCCTTCACTTAATTACAACCACAAGTACTCTTTTTCCAAATAAGGTCATATTTACACTTTCCAAGGATTAATTCATGGATGTATCTTCTGGGAGGCCTCCATTAAGCTCACTGCACTATGCATATTATGTTATTTTTCCACTAGATTATAAATAGCTTCCACTTGAGGGTACTTTTTAAGCTTTAATTTTTTTAGTCATTGACAGTTTATGTTATACAGGTACTTAAAAGTTTAGGCCTCAAAGTTTACTTTTAAATACCTGTTCTGTATAATATATATATATATCCAGTTTTCTTTTGGAAACTGTTTTTTTTTTACTTCACAGTACAACAGAGACATCTCACCACAATAGTATATCTACTTCTACTACATTTTAATGATTTCATAGCAATCTAGTGAATAGATGTATTATCATGTATATATTAAATCTCATTTGACATTTATGTGATTTCTCAGAGAATTTTTTATTGTAGTGAACCCTGTGGTAAATATTGTGCTCAAATACATTATACCTATATTATGATACATAACTGTGTTACATTTCTGCATACACAAATATATTTTTGTGTTTTATTTAATTTTTAAAAAGATGTAAACAAATATCCAACAATGGGGGTCTTGGTACAATACAGTAGGATGGGATACTATGAAGCCCTAAAAATGTTATTAGAAACCAAAGCCCAAGAGGCTGAGGCTTGGATCATTTGAGTCCAGGAGTTCAAGACCAGCCTCGGCAACATGACGAAACCCTGCCTCTACAAAAAATAGAAAAACTAGCCAGGCATGGTGGCACACACCTGTAGTCCAAGCTACTTGCGGTGGCTGAGGTTGGAGGATCGCTTGAGCCCAGGAGGTCAAGGCTGCAGTGAGCCGAGATTGTGCCACTGCGCTTTGGCCTTGGTGACAGAGTGAGACTCTGTCTCATTTAAGAAAAAAACATCGACACTAAAGCACAGATTTGGCCAAGCATAGTGGCTCACACCTGTTACTCCAGCACTTTGGAAGCCCAAGGCGGGAGGATCACTTCAGCCCAGTAGTTTGAGACCAGCCTGAACAACACAGTGAGACCTGAGCTCTACAAAAAATAAATAAAACTAGGCAGGCATGGTGGGGCATGCCTATGGTCTCAGCTACTTGGGAGGCTGAGATGGGAGGATCACTTGAGCCCAGGAGTTCACGGATGGAGTGAGCTATGATCACACCACTCCACTCCAGCCTGGGCAACAGTGAGACCCTGTCACTAAAAACGAATGAATAAATGAATGAATATAAAGTTTAAACAAATAGTGAGCTTTGAAACAAACCTAAGAAACAAAAATGTACTATATTGGGGGTTAAAAGTTGTAGATTTGGGCTCTGAGTCTGCTGCTGGAATATAAGCTCTGTAAGTGTACATTAGAGTTTGCAATCAGTGTACATTAGAGTTTCCCAAACTTTCTCATTCATGGAGCCCGTAGTGTCTTGGTAATTTTATCATGGTGCTTGTAAGTCAAAAGAAGTACCAAACAATTGTATTCATTAAGTAGTTAAGTCCAAAGAATTTTACATAGTTTATGTCCTAAGAACTAACCATTTGGAAAAATAATACAAATAAATTGAAGGCAAAAAATTTTTATTATTATTTTGAGACAGAGTCTCGCTCTGTTGCCCAGACTGGAGGGCAGTGGTGTGATCTCAGCTCACTGCAACCTCCACCCGCCTTGGTTCAAGCAGTACTTCTGCCTCAGCCTCCCTAGTAGCTGGGATTACAGGCATGCACTACCACACCTGGCTAATTTTTGTATTTTTAATAGAGACAGGGTTTCACTATTTTGGCCAGACTCGTCTTGAACTCCTGGCCTCAAGTGATCCACCTGCCTTGGCCTCTCAAAGTGCTGGGATTACCAGCATGAGCCACCGCACCTGGCTTACTTTATTTTTAAATAACCAAAATTTCTTACTAATGAGATGTGTGCTCCTGTTAGATATTGCATGACTTTTCAAACCTTGGAATCAGGTTGGACACTGCCACTCTCATTTCCATATTGACATTCACATAATACTTATTTTATTTCATAGCATCCTCCCAAAATCAAGCTCCACAAATATGACTTCATCAAAAGGAATGAAACACATTCTTTTTGTTTTTGTTTTTGAGATAGTTTCGCTTTGTTGCCCAGGCTGGAGTGCAGTGGCATGATCTCGGCTCACTGCAACCTCTGCTTCCTGTGTTCAAGCAATTCTTGTGCCTCAGCCTCCTGAGTAGCTGGGACTACAGGCACACGCCACCATGCCCAACTGATTTTTTTGTCTTTAGTAAAGATGGGTTTCACCATGTTGCGTCAGCTGGTCTCAAAACTCCTGATTTCAGGCAATCTGCCAACATCAGCCTCCCAAAGTGCTAGGATGACAGGCATGAGCCACCATGTCTGGCCATATGGAACACATTTTCAGGTAACTGTGAACTAAGAGCTATTAGTCCAGCAGATGTTGAGTATTACATTGTTTCCCTAAAATATTTAAAATGTGTCACTATACCCCTTTGAATTTGCTAGGATGCCTTTGCACACAGTTTAGGAACCACATTATGCATTCAGTTTTGAATTCTGATTTCCTTGCTTGACATATAATAAAGTACCTTCTCTTTTCTTTACATAGTTATAATAACCAATTTTTTTTTTTTTTTTTTTTTTTTTTGAGACGGAGTTTCGCTCTTGTTACCCAGGCTGGAGTGCAATGGCGCGATCTCGGCTCACCGCAACCTCCGCCTCCTGGGTTCAGGCAATTCTCCTGCTTCAGCCTCCTGAGTAGCTGGGATTACAGGCACGCGCCACCATGCCCAGCTAATGTTTTGTATTTTTAGTAGAGACGGGGTTTCACCATGTTGACCAGGATGGTCTCGAGCTCTTGACCTCGTGATCCACCCGCCTCGGCCTCCCAAAGTGCTGGGATTACAGGCGTGAGCCACCGCGCCCGGCCAATAACCAATTTTAATAGCTTCATAATATTCACTGGAGTCACTGAATCATAATCTTATTAACCATTCTTTATTTTGGATATTTTTAGGTTATTTGCAATCTGATTTTTTTTCTATTAACATAATAATCAGTGAAGATTTAGTTGTTTTTCCTCCTCTCCTTTCTTTTGTTCAGATGTGTGTTTTTGAACTATTCCTTTCTAAAAAGTGCCAAGAATTGTATTACTAAAGAGATGAACATTTTTATGGCACTTAGTATATTTTTCTCTATTGCCTTCTAAAGAAAACAGCTCAATCTGTAATGTCTCCAATATCATGGGAATATTTTACCATAAACTTGCCCTCTTCAACTATAAGTATATAATTGGTGAAAAGGGAATCTCACACTTGATTTGCATTTTTATTACTTATATGAGTACATTTACTGATTCCTTTATTGAAAATCCATTACGTATTTGCCACTGTATTACTTTCCTGTGACTCCTTTAACAAACCACCACAGACTTAGTGGCTTAAAATAAGAGAAGTTTATTCTCTCTGAAATCTGGAGGCCAGACGTCCAAAATCAGAATGTTAGTAGAGCAACCCTGCTTCCAGAAACTCTAGAAGAGAATCCACTACTTGACTCTTCTAGTTTCTGGTGACTGTTTGCATACCTTTTCTTGCGGCCACATCACTCTCTGTTCCATCTTCACATCTGTGTCTTCTGTTGTGTCCTAAAATTCCCTATCTCTTAGAATGGTACATGTAATTGTATTCAGGCCCTATCAGGATAATCCAGGCTACACACCAAGTCTCAAAGTCTTAATTACATCTTTTGCCGTATATCGAACATGCACATGTTTTTTGTGGGGTCACCATTAGCCTGCTACAGCCACTTACAAAGATATACAACCTTTGCAGGAAGGGAGACAGCTAAACAAAATAATTATAGTGAAATCCTACTGGTTCTGTGAGAGAACTCTCTGCAGGGTCCTAAGGTGGCACAGAGGAGCAAGTGGGTGGTCAGTTTTATAGGAGGGAAGGTAAATGAGCAAGTTTGAGAAAGCCTTTACAGAAGTGGTGATATTTGAATGGGTCATTGACTGTAAAATATCAAGAATGTTTGGAGATTTGTAGATATGAGTAGTGCTGGATGGGAGGCTTGGTGAGAACTGAAATGAGAAAAGATGATGCTTCATGGAAAATATAAAAAGAGTAGCTAAGCCAGTGAAATTGGCTAAATATCTGCTTGATTTTTTTCGTGTGTCTTTGTCTAAAACAAAGGTTCTTCAGGATCTTTTGAACATTCCAAGCATGGTGGTGATGAGCTGTGATTAGACAGAGAACATTAATATAGAATATACCATGTTATAAGTTAGGAGTGCAATTCTTTACAAGGAACAGAAAACCCAAGTAAGAATATCTTAAAGAAAAGTAAAAACTTTACCTACAAACCCTCCCATGGACTTCCATTTAGTTTTCATTGACTGGAATGGAGTTGAAGTTAAATAGATACTTCTATCATGGAAATAGGTGTTAGGTCAGCCAGACAGGTCTGTCTACCCCACAAATTAATATTCACAAAGGATTGTTGTTTCTTCAAAAACTGGGTGACTTTCTGAGAATACATTAGACGATAACCAAAATTAGCCTCAAAACTAAGCTTTTTAAAAAATGTGATTTTTAGAATTTGTGAATTTTAACTTCTAAAATGTAAAACTGTGAATTTAAAAACATTTTATTGGGACCATGAAAAATTACAAATGCATGGAATTCTTTAGCTTGAAGGGACTGTGGATCATCCCTTTTCATGTATTAATGTTTATAAGGTAAATTGAATGGTTTTTTAAAAATCTATGGGTTTTTCTGTTTGTTTGTTTTTAGGAAAGAGACGTAGATCTTTCCCATAGCTGCGGATCTTCAAAAGTGAAGAAATTTGATACTTCCATTTCATTTCCACCAGTAAATTTAGAAATTATAAAGAAGCAATTAAATACTAGGTGAGTAATACTCATTTTGAAATTTACATTTGTCCTAGATATCTAATAGTGAAGATATAGCATTATATTCTTTTAGATTATTAAGTTTTAATATTAAACAGACTTGTAGGGAAAAAAAAAGGATCTCCTGTGTTACACTAACACAATTGATTACATTTTTGTATACAGTAGTCCCCCCCATATCTGTATGTTTGCCTTCTATAGTTTCAGTTATCAGTGGTCAAACCATGGTCCAAAAATATTAAATGGAAAATTCCAGAAACCATTCATGTGTTTTAAATTGCATGCTCTTCTAAGTAGTGTTATGACATCTCAGCTACCCTGCTTCATCTTGCCCAGGATGAGAATCATCCTTTTGTCCAGCATCTTTTTGTTCTGTAAGCCAACTGCCTGTTAGTCACATAGTAACCTTCCTCGTTACCAGATGGACTATTGCAGTATCACAGTGCTTGCGTTCTGGTAACCTTTATTTTACTTAATAATGGCCCCAGAGTACAAAAGTACTGTATGTAATATATAAATTAAGCTTCATCATAGTTATGTATGTGTAGGGGAAAAAAACAGCATATATAGGCTTCAGTATTATTTGCATTCACTGGGGGTCTTGGAACGTGTCCCCATGATTAAGGGGGTACTACCCTGTCTTTTTTAGTCTTTATAACATACTTTACATGGTTAAAAATCAGTAAATACAAAATTCTACTTTTTTATTTAATATGGTTTTAAGCATTTTTATTACCGAATAGCCTTTAATTTTTTAAAAAACTGTCATGTTTGTCCAAGTAGTTGTTATATCGTAATTAAGTATTTCTCTGTTGCACATTTTGATCTAGAACAGGAGTCAGCAAGCGTCTTTTTTTGTAAAAGGCTGCATAGTAAATATTTTAGGCTTTAAGGGCCAGATGATTACTGTTTTAACTGCTCAACTCTGTGTTATAGCATGAAAACAGCTATAGACAATATGTAAACATATAAGCATGGCTATTTTCCAATAGAACTTTATTTACAAAAACAAAGGATGGGCTAATAATTTGCCAAGCCCCAGAATACAAAGATAACCTTGCATGAGAGATAGAAAAGAGCTAGCAGATAATTGATTTATAGTAGCATTTTATTTTATCTGGATACTTTATTATATTTTTTATTAACTAAGTTTTTCATTTTAAAAAGACCATACACTCATGATTAAAAAATAAAATAACCAGTAGAAAGGATATACAGAACAAAGGAAATTAACCTTTCTAGAGGAAACCATTCCTATTAGTTTCTTTCTTTTCTTTTTTTTTTTTTTTTTTTTTTTTTCATTTTTTAGACAGAGTCTTGCTCTGTGGCCCAGGCTGGAGTGCAGTGGCATGATCTCAGCTCACTTCAACCTCCACCTCCCAGGTTCAAGTAATTCTCCTGCCTCAGCCTCCTGAGTAGCTGAGACTACAGGCGCCTGCCACCATGCCTGGCTAATTTTTTTTTATTTTTAATAGTGACGGGGTTTCACCACGTTGGCCAGGCTGCTCAAACTCCTGACCTCGGTGATCCACCCACCTCAGCCTCCAAAAGTGCTGGGATTATAGGCATGAGCCATCATGCCTAGCCACTGCCAGTTACTTATGTTTTCTTCCAGAAGTGGTCTGTATGTATAGCTTTACAAGCACATATATGCTTATGTATTCCTCTGTTTTTATACAAAAAAGGAAACACATCGTATACCCTTCTCTGTACCCAGCTTTTTCCATGTAGTATTTACTTAAAAGTTCACTGCTATAGTCAATATTTTACTTAATTAAAGTATTTTATTAATAATGCCTACTATATATTATTATCTTGATTAATTTCTTAACTCTCACTGTCCTTTATATAAAGCGAAGAAAGATTATGAAAGATAAATGCAAGAAAAGTTGAAGAGAGAATATTTGGCCTAAGCAAGTGCTAAAGGGGTTTCCTCTTTTATTGTGGTGCTCTTTGCTTGTCAAGTCTAAAAATCCAGATTTATATGATTGTCAGTTTCCTTGGTGGTCTTTGAAAATATTTGCATTAGATCGCTACTTTTAAAAAATTTTGAAAAATTTTATTTATTTTTTTTAATTTAGATTAACATTACTACAGGAAACTCACCGCTCACACCTGAGGGAATATGAAAAATATGTACAGGATGTCAAAAGCTCAAAGAGTACTATCCAGAACCTAGAAAGTTCATCAAATCAAGCTCTAAATTGTAAATTCTATAAAAGCATGAAAATTTACGTGGAAAATTTAATTGACTGCCTTAATGAAAAGGTACATATCAATATTTATATTATTTCCTTTGTTGGAGAAAACCCTTTACCACACAATTAAGAAAAGTCTAGCCAGGCACGGTGGCTCATGCCTGTAATCCCAGCACTTGGGAGGCTGAGGTGGGTGGATCATGGGAGATTGGGAGTTTAAGACCATCCTGACCAACATGGAGAAACCCTGTCTCTACTAAAAATACAAAATTAGCCAGGCATGGTGGCATGTGCCTCTAATCCCAGCTACTCGGGAGGCTGAGGCAGGAGAATTGCTTGAATCCAAGAGGTAGAGGTTGTGGTGAACCAAGATTACACCACTGTACTCCAGCCTGAGCAAGAAAAGTGAAACTCTGTCTCAAAAAAAAAAAAAAAAAGTCTGAAGCCTAAATCACACAATTGGATTCCTTTCTCTAGTATTTTTCCTACACATTTTTAACATAAGATGATACTAAGCATTCTGTTAATGTTGGATATTCAAGTTTTTTGTAGTTATTTTATTATTATAAGTAACATTGTATGAAATTTTATATGTAAATTTTTGTTACATCTGTTTAAGGAAAATCCCTTAAAAATGAAGTCAAAGAAAATGAATTAATAAGTCTAAATATTTTCAAGACTTATGAAACATTGCAAAATTGTCCTTCAGAAAGGTTGTTCCAGTTTTATTAGTTTACTAGATTAGGAAGAAATAAATTTTGTTTTCACATATCATATTTTTATCTCAAGCAAACTCTATGGTTTTCTTCTTGTGAATTATGTTTGTCGTCTTTGTCCTGTTACCTTTTTGGTTCTTAGTGGAGATTTTTCCTTTTTCTTTTCTAATTTTCTTAGAGTATGAACAATTCTTTGTAGCTTAAAATTTTTTAATGCTTTATCTTACTTGATGTAAACTTTCCAGATTTGTCTTTTGAATTTGTTTGTGATGGTTTTTCTTTTAGCATTCAGATGTTTTGAAATTTTTGTTTTTAGTTTTTGTTTTATGCATACTAAGTTCTTACATTGGGGCCTTCAGTTGTCCGTTTTTAAAAACAGATTAACCATTTCAATTAATTATACTCTACTTTCCACATTATTTTTATTTATTTTTTGGGGGGTGGCAGAGTCTTGCTCTGTTGCCCAGGCTGGAGTGTAGTAGTGTGATCTTGGCTCACCGCAACCTCTGCCTCCCAGGTTCAAGTGATTCTCATGCCTCAGCCTCCCAAGTAACTGAGACTACAGGCATGTAACAATACACCCAGCTAATTTTTTGTATTTTTAGTAGAGACCGGGTTTCACCATGTTGCCCAGCTGGTCTCGAACTCCTGAGGTCACGAAATCCACCTGCCTCAGCCTTTCAAAGTGCTAGGATTACAGGCCTGAGCCATTGGGCTCGCCCACATTATTTTTTATTTATAATTGAAATGTTGCTAAACAACGGGATGCTTTGTACCAATTGTTGTTTTAAGTTAGCTATCTTCTACTATCACTTGGTACATGCTTTTTGAAGTATTTATTACAATGTAATTTTCTTTCTTCATTAACTCTTGAAGAAAATTATATGTTAAAATTTTGTCATCCTGTGCATGAATGTATTCATAGCAGCAGCTGTGGAATATCAATAGAGTGGGAAAAATTGTTGCTCCCCAAAATACGAGAGTTTCAGTTTCAACTAGTCTCATTTCTGTATCACATTATAGCTTTCTTACCTGTCTCTGGTTAGTTTTTCCTCCATTCCTCAATTTTTCAAATTTCAGCAGCTTCAAGTGCCCCCACCTACTTTCCACACCCTAGGCCTGTGAAAACATCCACAGTCTTCATTTTCACCTATTCTTCTAGCTCAGAAAAAAAAGATCTTCTATTTCAAACTCTTATCCATGTTCCTGACTCCATCCATTCGGTTTCTTTTTTTTTTTTTTTTTTTTTAGATAAGAGTATTGTTCTGTTGCCCAGGCTGGAATGCAGTGGCGCGATCTCAGCTCACTGCAACCTCCCCATCCAGGATTCAAGCGATTCTCCTGCCTCAGCCTCCTGAGTAGCTGGGATTGAAGACAGGCAGCATTGCATCTGGCTAATTTTTGTATTGTTAGTAGAGACAGGGTTTCACCATGTTGGCCAGGCTGGTCTTGAACTCCTCGCCTCAAGTGATCCGCCCACCTCCCAAAGTGCTGGATAATAGGCATGAGCCACCACACCTGGCCTGCAACTGGTTTCACTGTCTCTGATATTTATAACAGTTCCGGTAGACTAAGTCAGTTTTCTGATTTTTAATATTAAAAGTATTAACAGCTAGGTATGCTGCATACAATGTTTTATAATTGAGATGTGATAGTATTAGGAATGTTTCTTTGTATGAGAATTGAGCATATAAATATGCTTATGTATCTTCTAAGTATTACCTTTACATATATATGTATATATATTTTATTACTGATTACCTGCAAAATGTTACTTGTATATGTATTTCAGATTATCAACATCCAAGAAATAGAATCATCCATGCATGCACTCCTTTTAAAACAAGCTATGACCTTTATGAAACGCAGGCAAGATGAATTAAAACATGAATCAACGTATTTACAACAGTTATCACGTTAGTGTTTTTCATGTTCAATACAGTTTTTTATTCATTAAGCTAAATTATGTGAATAATACAAATATTTTTATAAACATTTTTTGTGTGTATTTTCCCACAAACCCTTTACCCACCAACTTCCAAAAACTCAACATATTTAGAAATAGGACTTAACAATGTTTTAAATTAAGTCTAAGACTAAAAAATAAACATTACTTCCTATTATTTACTATTTCAGGCAAAATATTTACATAATCATTTAATGAATTTTTGAGATAAGTTCATGTAATTCTGTAAAGTCTATCAGAAATCTAACTTAATAGTTTAAAATCCCTTTCAAAGATTGGTTCTGGTGAGTTTCAATATAGATTTATCTTTAGGATCTCATTATATAAAATATGAATATCTCCTTTTTTTTCCCCACATTGATTATGTACTTTCAGAGATATCTTCCTTTGATTAAGATGCTATCAGGAGATAGTGAAAGACCATAACCAAGTAGCTAATAAATGCAAAGGCAAAGTGACTTTCAGTGAAACACGCGACCTTAGTGGATTGTAAATAATAGTATCATATATTAAAATAAGAAATAATGTGACTAGAATACAGTAGTCCCTCTAATCTGCAGTTTTGCTTTCCACAGTTCCTGTCAACAGTGGCCAAAAATGAATGAGTACAGTACAATAAGATATTTTGAGAGCTACCCCACATTCTTATAACTTACATTGCAGTATATTGTTTCCATTGTTCTACTTTATTGCTATTGTTAATCTTGTACTGTGCCTAATTTGTAAGTTAAACTTTATCATAGGTATGTATATAGAGGGAAAAACAAATAGGGTTCGGCACTATGTGTGGTTTCTGGCATCCACTGAAGTTCTTAGAATGTAGCCCTGCAGATTAGAGGGGACTACTGTATTGGTAAAGCCAATATTTCTTGCATTTGGCTATGGAAAAAAGTAGTAAAAACTACTGGAAAAGAATTTGAGGAAACGAAACTTTGTGGAAGAACTTTGTCACTGTTTTCAAGTGCCAAACATTCACCAGCCAAAGTACATTTTTAGGCTAACGAACCTCATGCCTGTCAATATTGCAATAAAGAGTTAACATTGAAATTTCATAGCATAAATTGCAAAATTTTAGTATATTTGTATATTTACAAATGCATATATGTTTATACATCCATATTACCTTCATTTTCAAAGCATTTCACTGTTTTCTTTTGAGAATTTGTAGTATGAAGTCACTTTTATTTATTAACAGACAAAGATGAGACATCCACAAATGGAAACTTCACAGTAGATGAAAAAACTCAATGGATTTTAGAAGAGATTGAATCTCGAAGGTAGCTATATAAAATGAAGATTTAAAGAAAGCATCATAGAGCAAGTACTTTTCACTACTTAAATATAATTAACCACATGGTATCATTAACCATACCTGATGTGTATTATTAATTTGTGAGAATAGTAGAAAAGCAAAATTCAATAAAACTATCCTTGACTGCTTTAAAGACATGCTGGTATATTTGAATCAGTTAAAAGGAATCGGTAAAATGACATTTATCAGGCTGGAGATTGCTCGTTACTAGAAACTGGTCCTAATTATATTGCTGCCCCCTCTTCAGAATATGGATAGCTGATGGGAATGTCTTATAAGAAAACAAAAACAAAAAAACGGAAAACCACCAAATGAAACTAAAAATGTCAAAAATATTAAGAAAATTGTACGTTGATATGATAGTATATTTCTAGCCATTTAAAATAAATGATAAAATTACTTATTTTCAGCAAGAGGTAAAAAAATTTGTTTTGAAGCATTTATTTTCAGCAAGAGCTATTTACTTTTTGTTATTTTTGGTTTGTCGAAAAATATAGGACAAAAAGAAAACAAGCAAGGGTGCTTTCTGGGAATTATAACCATCAGGAAGGAACATCTAGTGACGATGAATTGTCTTCAGCAGAGATGATAGACTTCCAAAAAAGCCAAGGTCAGTTACCAAGTTTCTAATATATCATGGTTTGAGTTTTGAGACTATGAGAAACACTTTGCTGTGATTGCCCTTAATAAGTAAATAATCTATATGAAACAGCAGGGCAAATTCAGGAAAAATAAAACATATTTTTCCTCTGTAAGACTCTTTTCCTACCTCTGAAAAAATGGAGTAAAATGAAGGAGGGACATTGTGAGTATTCTTGCATCTTCATAGTTTTTTCTGTTAGACTTTCTCCTATGACTAATGAACATCTTCATTTCTTTACCACACATACTTTGTATATTATTTTTAATTTAAAATATTATGAAAGTATCTTCTCATCTTTTTAGCATGATATGAAGATAAGATGCATATAGTTGAAAGATTCTGGACTCTGGAGTTAAATAAATTTGGATTATAAGGGAGATTTTATTCTGTGTAATCTTAGACAAATTTCTTGTTCTCCCTAAATTTGATATTGTTTTGTCTGCAAAGACGTAGGCTATACCTGTATGGTAGGAAAGATAGCTATGATGGTGAAATGAGATAAATATATTTCTGTTGGCATATAACAGGGGTATATATGGTAGCTTTTATTAGTGTTGATATTATTACTTTGTTGCTAAAATGATTTTTTAATAAAAATTTATGTTACTATTAAAGGGCAAATTTTAGCTCAGTTGATTGCAGTCCTTCATGGCCGTGTTTTTAAGGAAGCAGACTTAAAGTTCACAACTTAAAGTGGGTAAAGAGACTTATTTTGCTTACAGGTGACGTTTTACAGGATCAGAAGAAAGTTTTTGAAGATGTGCATGATGATTTTTGTAACATTCAGAATATTTTGTTGAAATTTCAGCAATGGCGAGAAAAGTTTCCTGACTCCTATTATGAAGCTTTTATTAGTTTATGCATACCGAAGCTTTTAAATCCCCTAATACGAGTTCAGTTGATTGATTGGAATCCTCTTAAGGTATTTATACTTAACATGTGAAAAATTATCCTGAATATATTAGTTACTTAAATTCCCTTAGTGTTATGTTAACTATTAAATACCTTACCCTTAGGGTTGGAGCTGAAATTTAGAGCTTTGGAACAATAATCAGAAAATGTGTGCTTTAAGCTACATTCCTATATTCTTGGCTCTCACTTGATTTTTAGACTGAGGCAGCACTAAACATCAGTAAAGCAAACATATTTTTTTTTAGCTTCTTGTATATTAAATTTAAAATCTTCCCAAAAAGTATAAGGTACTGTTGGGTTTGGGGAAAGTAGATATAAAAGCCTTGTTTCAAGAATTCTTAAGTTGGAGTTGACATACTGGAAAGGGTTGCTTAGGGTTGCATTGAGGAGGTTGAATACAAGACTTTGAAAGGTTTATGGGATAAACAGGATGAGACAGAAAGGGAAAGGTGTTTCATAAAGGCATAAAGGGAGAAATATTAGTTCAGGAGCTAGAAATTGCACAGATATTTAGATCCTAAGTTAAGAAATATAAACTCAATTCACTGAATTTGACTGTCTACAGTAAGAAATAAAAGAAATATGAACTCAGCAACTGCCTACTGTGTAACAGGACCTTTAAATCACATACAGATTACATATTTATGCTTACTAGAATTGAAGGGGCCAGAAATAAACTTTGCTTGAAGTGGATGGATTTTTTTAAATAAACAAATTCCATGACTGTTTCAAGTGCCTAACAAATGTATATTTTGCTCCTAGCAGACTACTTGCCATGTGGTAGGCTGTAAAGGCTCTGGCACACACTAGGTAGTTGTTGAGTGTTTGTTGTGTGATTGAATGCATGAAATGCAGCTTCTTGTTATGTTGCTTAGACACCCTGTCTCAGTCATGCTGTCCTGCCATCCTGCCTAGCCTTGGTGGTCTAGTGTTACGATAGTGAATTAATCTCTTCTGATCTTTAGAAAAGCTCTGGTAATTATTGAAAAAATTAACTATTTTAAAATACACTAATTTTGAAGGGTTTCTTTATAACTTCTATAATTTTCTTTGTAAGTTGAATTCCACAGGTTTAAAAGAGATGCCGTGGTTCAAATCTGTAGAAGAATTTATGGATAACAGTGTAGAAGACTCAACGAAGGAAAGTAGTTCAGATAAAAAAATCTTGTCTACTATCATCGACAAAACAATTGTTCCCCGACTTACAGGTACTGCATTGTAACCTTGATAAAATTAAATTATTTTTTAACAGAGTATGTACTGTTACCTTCTGTTATGTTCACAAATTTTTTTTCAGAAGTTTTTAAACACAAGGAAATGTTATGTGTAGTAAAAATCAACAGATGTCAAATTTAAGCTGGTTAAAAATTTTTTGTTTGTACGGGTTGTTGGCCACGAAACTGCTAATACTCATACTGGTTCTAATCCTCTTCTGACTTATCATCAGCAATTCCAGCAGTTGATCATTCTTTCTTCCTAGAAACACTGTCTTTACTTGGCTTCTAAGATACTACACTTTTAGTTTCCTGCCCACCTCGCTGGTCTTTGCTGTCTGCTTGTCACCTCTTTGACTTCCAAGTGCCACAGTATCTCAGGATTCAGGTCACTTACCTTCTTTTTTCTATTTACATTTAGTCACTTAGTATTTAAAGTCAATTTAGTGTTTGTGGCATTCCTGGCTGCTTCAGTCATTTTTTAGCACACTTCCATCCATGCTACATGTGTCTTCTTTTTCCTTTCACTTCTCTCATCATGTTTCTTTTCCTTTTCTTTAAAAAACATTGCTTTGGCTGGATGTGGTATCCGGCACCTGTAATCCCCGCAATTTGGGAGGCCAAGACAGGTGGCTCACGTGAGGTCAGGTGTTTGACACCAGCCTGGCCAACATTGTGAAACCCCATCTTTACTAAAAATACAAAAAATTAGCTGGGCGTGGTAGCAGGCGCCGCAATCCTACTCTGGAGGCTGAGGCAGAATAGCTTGAACGTGGGAGGCAGAGGTTGCAGTGAGCTGAGATCGCGCCGTTGTACTCCAGCCTGGGTGACAAAGGCTAAAACTCTTTCTCAAAAACAACAACAACAAAAAAGTTGCTTCATTCCACTTACATCTGCCACTAGCATCTATAAGCACTTAACATTAATGCTTGTGCTTCAGGCAAGCAAAGACAAGTGAAGTCTTTTGTTTTACCTGTGTACTTGATAAGGATCCGTTTCACTATGTCACTGAGAAAGAAGTTTGACAGCAAAGACTGCACAACTCTATTAATTTTTTGTGTGTTCGTTTTTGAGACAGTCTTCCTCTGTCACCCAGTCTGGAGTACAGTGGCATAAACATTGCTTACTGCAGACTTGAATTCCTGGGGTCAAGTGATCCTCCTGCCTCAGCCTTCCAATTAGCTGGGACTCCAGTCCCATGCTAGCACAGCCAGCTAATTTTTAAAAGATTTTTTTTCAGACAAGGTCTTGCTATGTTGCCCAGGCTAGTCTCAGGCTCCTGGCCTCAAAATATCTTTCCCCTTAGTTTCCCAAAGCACTGGGATAATAGGGGTGAGTCACCATGCCCAGCCTAGAAGCCTGAACCAGTCAGCCTTATAATTGCTTCTTAAGCAACTTGATTAAACTTTAAAAGATTTTGACTGGGCACGGTGGCTCATGCCTGTAGTCTCAGCACTTTGCAAAGCCGAGGTTGGAGGATCGTTTTAGCACAGGAGTTTGGGACCAGCCTGGGAAACATGGTGAAACCCCATCTCTATTTATAAATTTTTTAATTAAAAAAAAAAAAACTTTCAAGATTTTATTTCAATGAACCTATGGTGCAGTTGTGGGGTGTATTAGAAAGTTACTGTTTTTAACTAGCTCTACTAATGATAGAGTACATGTGCCTCATTTAAGCACTCTGCTGAAAATAATCTAAATACTTATGATGAAACGTCACACAAATAAGTAGCTTTGTGAGAAATTAACACAGACTGAATCCCGATAGTGGTTGAATTCTACGTATATTTCAAAGATAGCACTAACAGAATGTACTAATGGATGGGTTGTGCAGCAAGAGAGAAATCAAGAATGGTTCCATGGGCCTTGGCCTGAGCAACTGGAAGGACAGAGGTGCCATTTCCTAAAATGAAAAATTCTGAGAGGAGTAAGCTTACTGGGGGGAGCTATATTAGAAGCTCCATTTGGGACATGTTGAGTTTGATGTAACTGCAATCTAAGTGGAAATGTCAGGTCAATTGTTGAATACATGAGTCTTAAAGGGGGAGGTCCAGTCAGAAAGTGTAAGTTTGGAATTTATCCACATGACATTTATTGATGGCATTTAAAGTCGTAAATTCAAATATTAAGTGAGTGAATGTAAATAGAAAAGAGAAGGTAAGTGACCTGAATCCTGAGGTACTGTAGCACCTGGAAGTCAGAGGTGACAAGCAGACAGCAAAGACCAGAGAGGTGGGCAGGAAACTAAGAGCGTGGTATCCTGGAAACCAAGTAAGGACAGTGTTTCTCGGAAGAAAGAATGATCAACTGTTGGAGTTGATGATAAGTCAGATGAGGATTAGAGTCAGTCATTGGAGTTTGCTATGTGAATGTCATCTGTGATTTGCTAAAAGCACATTAGGTGAACTGGTAAGAGATAAGGCCTAATTAAAGGGAAATCAAGAACAAAATGAGAAGAGAGAAATTGGAGATAGAAGTTTAGACAGTACTTTGGGGGATTTTGTTGTAAAAGATAGCAGGGAAATGGAACAGTACTTGAGGAGGAAGTAGGGCTAAGAGGGGGATTATTTTTCATACAAAATAAATAGTTATTTGTAGGGTGATGGAAAAAGTCTAGTCCAAATGATGTCAATACCAAAGTGTAAGGACAGAGTTCTGGGGACAAGATCTTTGACTAAGCCAAAAGGTTGGAATCTCATGCACAAAATAAACAGTTTGCCTGCAGTGATGGCAGGGTGGGTGCCTCATCCATAGTAATAGGAGACAAATTAGAGCATATGGGCACAGATGCAGGTAGGTGTGTAGATGCTGTGGTAGGAGATTTGGAGAGTTGCTTTTCAGATTGCTTCTATTTTCTTAGCAAATTAGGAAGTAATTAGCTGAAAGAGAAAGCAAGACAGTAAATAAATAAGGTAAAAAAATAAAGTAGGAAATAATCATCTAGAAGAAAAAAGTCCATCAACCGAGAATGAGATCAAGGAGAAGGGAGAAGGTATGAAGTAATCATCTAGGTAAGAGGGAGAATGAATGGACCTGAAATAGAGAGAGGTTTGCTCAAGTTGTATAGTGATCAAGGTAATGTGATTTTTTTTCCCAGCCACTTTTTATCTGTTCGGTTGCAGGCAGAGACTAAGTGACAAGGTAAACCTAACTATAGAGAGTTGTAGTTTAGTCAGAGGAGTTTAACAAAGCCCAAAAAGAACCAGGAAATTGAGAATGTATGCAAATATGTAATGGTAATAATTGACCATGGATCTTAAACTGAATAAGGAGAGAAGTAGTGTTTGTTAGGTTTTGATTGTTTGTATATGAGAAGCAAAACAATCTAGTAAATAGTGCACCACTGAAATATTTGTTTCAGACTTCGTAGAATTCCTTTGGGATCCTTTGTCAACCTCACAGACAACAAGTTTAATAACACATTGCAAAGTGATTCTTGAAGAACATTCCACTTGTGAAAATGAAGTTAGTAAAAGCAAACAGGTAATAATTTCTAGAGCTGTGAACACCATGATGTATCTGTAAAGCATTATTATTTTCTTACAGATCTTTGTTTATAAAAGACGCAGAAGTAATTATCAGAAAACTGTTTTGGGAAAAACACATTTACTTTTGATTTATAGAAACTAGACTTTTTCTCAGACTGCACTGAGATAAAAAAATTTTAAAAAACTAGATTATTTTTCTTCTTTATAATAAGATGAAAGAATATACCTTGATACTTCTGAACACTGTGATGGGAGTGGTAATTATTTTAAAATATACACATACATGTAAAGGCCCAGATTTCTACTTCCATTCCTGTTAGCTTACTTTTCTGTGTTCGGTGATCTGATTTGTGTTCTTATGGTAAAGGCAGCCATCTTTTAGGTTTATGAATATACACTGGCCCTGCAGAGATGAACAGGTGTAAATTCATAGTGCAAATTCATTTCTTCTAAAGGAAAACAACACTCATTATCTTTGTTCTTTTGGCAAAAATATAGTGGCATTGTGGCCGTGCTTGAATAACAGTTTCAAAATTAGACTAACACTTATTATATTAACTAGTTATTTGTAATCTGCCAAATAATAATAATCTCTTTAATATTCAGAGTTTACTAGGACAGATCTTGATCTTACAGTAACCTAGAATTGAGTTCACTGAACATAAGACATATCAAGGAACTTTTTAGAGAGATCTTGCTGAGAATCTGCTAATTCTTTCATTCTGGTATTTTGTTTGTTTATTGATGAAATTGTAAATTCATGCAGTTTATGAGTAAACCTATTTTAGAATGAGCTTTAGGAAATTAAGGAGAAATTGACAGACTGGAGAATGCCCACAGTAGAATGACAGAGGTGGTTAAAAAGCAAGGAGGCATATCATATTCATATTATGATCACATTAAGTTTTTAGCCCTTGGAATTGTTTACAATTGATTACAAAGGAAGAAAGCTGTAAGAAATGAAAGGGAGAAAAAGGATACCAGCCAATTCTGCCTTCAAGAAGCATGTAATCTCAGAGAAAATAAGATGTACAGAAACTATAATTTAAAACAGGAAGTGAGAAGGAGAAGTAGGGAAGATAATAAACACTTATTTAATTCTAATTGTGTACTAGGTCACATTAATCCGTCATCTTACCTGTCATCTTAATCCCAGCAGCCCTGTTTAAAAAAATGGGTGATCACCAGGCATGGCGGCTCATGCCTGTATATCTGAGTGCTTTAGGAGGCTGAGGCAGGAGGATCTCTTGAGGCCAAAAGGTCAATACCAGTCTGGACATCATAGCAAGACCCATCTCTACAAAAAAATAAAAATAAAAATTAGCTGGGCTCCCCATTGAGCCCAGGAGTTGAAGCTGCATTGAGCTATGATTGTTCCACCACACTGCAGCCTGGGCAATGGCAAAACCCTGTCTCTTAAAAAAAAAAAAAAAAAAAAAATGGATGATAGCCTCATTTTATAGATGAAGAAAATGAATCTTGAAATCTAGTTTTCACAGTGCTACCATGAATGAGAATTAGGACTTGAACTTGAATAGTCTGCCTCGAAAGCCCAAATTTGTCTTACCGACCACATTGCCTCCCCATGAGCAGCATAGATAAAAGTACTGTGCCTTCAGAGGAGAGACAAGAGAGAGGTTACCTTCAGTAGTGAGGATAAGAAAATAATTTATCTTACGAGTGGCATTTGAGCTGTGGCTTGAGGGAAAGCATAGGATTTCAAAATGTGACAACAGATAGAAAGGTGTTTTCTACTTAACTCCGATAGGATAAAAACTCAGGTAAAACAGAAACTTTTACAGGAATTAGAGATATTTAATTTGAAAGAAGATATACAGAGAGATGGTTTTTGTATTCAAAAAAGGAATAGATTTATTCTGTGTTGTTACACAGCATAGAACCAAGATTAGTACTTAAAAGCTATAAAGAAGCAGATGTATAATTATGTATTTGCTTTTCATACAGGATTATTTAGTTATGACCTAAATGTAAATCATTTTGTTTTACCATTTATTAAATACTTTCACATTGTCTCATTTGATCCACACAACCCTATGAGATGTATTTATTTTAATTGCATTTTATAAATGAAGCTGGGGCCTAGAAGGGCTAAGTCATTTGTAAAATACTTGAGTACTACATGGTAGACCTGGCTGCTGTTTGTAATCACTGAAGCCTTTCAGCAGTATTATGGATTCACTCATGAAGTTTTTATAATGGATTTTTTATCCTGAAACCCCTCTGCTATGAATGTAGAAAATGGGTTGTTTGCATGCCTAGGAGAATAGATTACATCAGAGTTTTCAGTCTCAGCTCTGCATTGGTACAGTATTTGGACCAGATAATTTTTTGTTGTGAGAGTCTGTCCTGTGCACTATAGTATGCCTAGCAGCATCCCTGACTCATACCCTCTAGGTGCCACTAGCAATCCCTGGTCTTCACAACCAAAAGTGTCTTTACACATTGTCAGGTATTCCCTAGAGATGGCAAAATGGCACATGGTAGAGAATCACTTACACTACATAATGCCCCAGGTTGCTGAGACAGCTCACCAGGGGGATCACTGTATTTTTTCAGTGATAGAAGAGAATGAGACAGGCTCAAGAACGGAAATTGGGTCAGATGACATAGTTTCTGTTTTCAAAGTTAGAAGCAAATGCTGTAAGCTAATGCCTGGTAATAATAGTTTTGATTCTGACTGAAAATCTAAAGTAAATTATTACAGAAGTAGATTATGAGTACTTAAATTAAAAAAGCAGTAATCACTGTAATCTGTCATTGATAGGATTCCCAAATACAAATGATACTTAACATTGTTTATTGAAGCAAATGTAATGTATTATGATTATTCTTAGAAATTAAATGGGGAAATAAAAGCTTAAGTATACCTAAAACAGTAATGACCAGTAGGGCAGTGGCTACCTATGGGGAGTCTCTTAGTATTAGATGTCTTCTCAGTTTCTCCCTGTTCAATATTTTTGTTGAACTGAATAAGGAGGTAAAATACATACTAATAAAATGTGTCAGTGACAAAAAGTTAAGAATTCTGTAAGACCTGTGGATGGTAGAATTAGAATCCAAGATGTCAAAAGATTTTAGAAAATGGACCGACTCAAAAGAAAGAATGAAAAAATAAATGCATGTCCCACCTTTGTGTTTAAAAATTCAACTGTGTAAATAAAAGATGGGAGAGACACAGTTTTGAAGCAACATAGGTAAGACAGATTGTAATCAACATAAACCCCGTGTGAGTCAGCAGTGTCACTTGAGTAACAGTAAAACAGATAAATGGGAGTTTATCCTAGTATGTGTGTGCTGTTTTGAGTAAGAATGGCATATTTGGTGATAATACCCACAGATTAGACCTTCCTTGGAATATTGCATTTAATTCTCAGGGTAAGCATGTTAAGTGGAGAGTGTCTTAAGATGGTATGGGAAAGAGAAAATGTAAAAAAAAAAAAACTGTGATATTAATCTTAAAATCTGGAGAATTGTCATATGGAAGTGGGGCTAGATCTATTCTGCATGATCTCAAGAAGTAAACCAAGACCAAGGAGTGGAATTGGAAGCTGTAGGAGAGAAAAATTTGTTAACTCTCATTGTTAACTGAACTCTAATAGTCCAAAGTTATGGGCAGCCACAGGAGATAATGATTCCCTATCAGCAAATGCTTTTAGACCTGGCTGGTGGACCATGTAGTAGAAATGTGAAAATGAGTCTAAGCATCACTTGGGTGTTCAGATAGATTGGTGGTTTTCAAATTCATTTTTTGTTTTTTATCAACAGAACCTATTTCAAATACATCTTACACAACCGGATACGTAAATTCACACACACAGAAGTAAAACTGCTCCTGCTGTTGTGAGCAGCTGCCCTTATTCTTCCCTGACCACCCCAACATCTGTCTAGGCCATCCTGAGATTACCTCCATGGATATACAGAACAGCATAAAAACCACTGGCATCACACATAAGTGCCCCTTTAAAGCTGTTTTAAAATATATGTGTATATATGTACAAAGGGTTTGTGTGTGAATCTGAACATGTGATTCAGAATGCTTGTTAAAACAGTGTGGAGTACCTTATTTTCCACCAAACAAAAGATGTTATTTAATATTTAGAAAAGTTAATGGCTCGCTGTTTTAAAATATGTGGATTTCTGTGGGATTTTTGTTTTTCTGTCTTTTTTTTTTTAGACAGCCTCACTCTGTCACTCAAGCTGGAGTACAGTGGTGCAATCTCAGCTCACTGCTACCTCTGCCTCCTGGGTTCAAACAGTTCTTGTGCCTCAGCTTCCCAGTCAGCTGGGATTGCAGACATGTGCCATCATGCCTGGCTAATTTTTTGTATTTTTAGTAGCAACAGGGTTTCGCCATGTTGGCCAGGCTGTCTCAAACTCCTGACCTCAAGTGACCCACCCACCTCGGCCTCCCAAAGTGCTAGGATTACCGGCGTGAGCCACCACACTCGGCCAGTGAATTTATGTTTTGTTTTAAACAGTTTATTTGGAAATATTAATACTTTGAAAGAAAACTTTCATGTATAAGAGTAGTATTTCCATATTCCCTTTACCCAGATTTATTTGTCCTTCATATTTTGCCCCATTGGCTTTATCATTAACCCTTCCATTTTAAATATATACATACAATATTTTTTCTCCTGAATACTGAGAACAAGTTGCATATTTGTTGAGACAAGGATATTCTGTTTTATAACCAGAGTAGTTAGCCATTTCAGTAAATTTAACAACATTCAGTCATTCGTATTCCACTTTTGCCAGTTGATTCAATAATGTTCTTTATATCACTTTCAATGGAATTGTTTTAAGAAACAAAAGTTAAACAATATGGAAATATTTGCCAAGGCTGGCATTCAAAATCATTAAAATCAAATGAAAAAATAGAAGCGGCTTTTTTTTCTAGCACAAACATCTAACTAAATAAGTTACATAAGCTCAGATACTATTTTTTAGAGATACTGTCTAGAAAATGATCTTTTTTCTTTTGACAGAATTCAGAATGTTTAAGAAATGGAGTAAAATACAACTGAGTTTTTATTTTTAGCATTAATTAAATGTTGATATATGGGCACTTGAGGAATATGTTACAGATAATTAAGTGGAAAGAGAAAATTTCAGTTCATTATGCTTTTCATGAAAAGCATATTTATTTGAATTCCACATCTATGGATAATTCAGTTAGTATACAGTTTGTGACAGCTGAATTTGTGCTGTATGCATTGTCATTGACTTAAAAAATAACTTTCACTCTAGTGTGTAATATGCCATTTTCATTTTTCAAATTTGAAGTTTTTTAAGAATGAGAATATCATTATAGAAATACTGCTAATACATGAAAAAAATAAACATTCATTATCTTTTCATCCTAGTATAAGGACTAATACCATTATAGGATATTTTCATCCAGGCTCTGTTATCAAAGTTGCAATCCTAATAGGCACGTAAGTTAGTATACTGCCTCTGCCTAACGTTATCTCATTGCATACTTATAGTTGTCTGTTACTATGGTCAGCATAAACTTCAGCTAAAGTTTATGATAGATTCACTCGATGGATGTAACATGTCTTTAAAATTCCCTATGATTGAATATTTTGGTCATTTCCACTTTTTTAATATACAAAATGTAGTTCCCTAAGTGGGGATTTTCTGTGTCACAAGACACAAGACAAACCAACAAAGGACCCACAGCTAGAGTATATGGAAGGCTTCTATAAATCAAAAAATAAAATAATAAAAAGATAGAACCTAATACAAAAAAATAGCAATGTTGGCAAGCAGCTTAATTAGGTACTTTGCAAAAGGGCTTGCCAAGTAGCAAATAGGAATATGAAAAGATGCCCAACAGCACATTACTCAACAGGAAACTGAGAATTAATACAGTGAAATATGAGTGCATACTTATATAATTGCAAACATTAAAAAACAAGAAAATACCAATTATCATAAGTATGTAGGGAAACAGGATTTCTTTTATACTATAGGCAGAAATGTCAATGGGATAGCACTATTCTAGAAACAAGTTTGTTTTTTTTGTACATAGTTGAATGTATGGACATGGACTATACTCCACCAATTCCATTTCTATATATATACCTATTAAAAATGTATGACCATGCATACTAAAGGACATGTACGAGAATTTTTATGACAGCATTATTTATAATAGCCACCAAACCAGAAATCACCTAAGTGTTCCATCAGTAGTGTTCATGCAACAAAATACTATATAGCAGTGAAAATGATCCAACTATAGCCATATGCAGCAACAGGGATAAATAAGATTTTTTTGTACCCAATTGATAGTTATTATAACAGCCGATTCTGTGAGTGTGGACAAATTTGTACTCTTGTTAAAATTACTTTTTTTTGGTAAATACATTTCTGCCTTTGACTGTCACTGATGCTTTTCAAATTTTTAATTATAGAATTTACTTAAATCCATTGTTTCAAGAATGAAGAGGGCAGTAGAAGATGATATCTTTATTCCTCTGTATCCAAAGAGGTAAGGGCTGTTAATTTCTAGATTGTTTGAAATAGCTGATCATAGAATACAGATTTAAGAATGTAATGCAAAAGAAATTGTAGTGTTTTCAAAACGTGTACACATATTCTATGAGGATGCAAATTGAGATTTCAACAAGTATTTCTCAGTTACCTACTTTATGCTGTACTTTATGCTTGGTGCTTAGATGTATTTTTGTTAGGTTGATTTTGGTTTTGGTTTTACATATATCCTAGGAATATAACAGGTGACACATAGAGTGGTAAAAAGCACAAGTTCAAGAGCACAAGTCCACTGTTAGTAGATATTTTTAAGTTTTTCCATCTATAAAATAAGGATAAAATAAGGCACTAAGCCTACCTCACAGGATATTAAGGAGATGAAGAGAGTGCTCAGAAAACAGCAATACCTAGCACAGAGGAAGCACAACGCTGAGGAACCAGAAACTGCACCTGTAAATTCTACAGTCACTTTAAATTATGAAACAAGTAGTATTTGATGTATGATCATACATTTGGTTAGAAGGCATCAGTTATAATGATGCATGAACTGTAGCAATCCAGTGAGTACTGACAGGATGGAGGAGCTTTATAGAAAGGGAAAAAAGGAACCTCAAAGCTTTCTGATTTATGTTGAGTCATGAGATGCCTACATGTAAAAATTCTGCCATGGTAAATTTTGCTTTGTAATGTTTTAAATAGGTAATGCATTCACATGGTTCAGATGTATGAATGGGTATTTTATTTATTTGTTTATTTATAAATATGAATTATTTTATTAAAATAATATATTAAATAATAAAATATTATTTATATTAAAATTAAAAGTTTTACTCCCACCTCTGACTCAGTTTTTGCCCTTCTCCCTCTACTCACCTATGTGTATGCATTAATAATCACCTTGAGTAATTTTTGTTTATTTTTCAAGGCTTTCTTCATGCAAACAGAAGTACTTACATAGGCTATAATCTTATATTACCCTCCTTTCTACAGCAAAGGAAGTATACTCTTAACAGTTGTAATCTGTTTTGTACCTTTTTTTCACTTAGTACCTCTTTGAGATCTTTCTTTATATGTCATCTATCATGTACAGTTTCCTCATTCTTTTTTAAGTTGCAAAGTTTGCCATCACTTAGATGTCCTATGACTGATGGTCATGGGAGTGGTGAACTATTATCATCACTGATGTTGTAAACAATGTTATAGACATATTCTATACTTGTGCACGTATATCTACAAGAGGCATTCTGATAAATGGGATCATTGGGCAGAGTGTGCATACATTTGTAATTCCAGTGGATATCATCAGACAATCTCTATTTATATTCCATTAAGGTTTAGAGTGGTTGGTTTAAAAGAAAATCTGATCTTAAACTCTGGTTCTGAAAGGCTAATAGTCCTTTGCATTTTCTCCCTTTTCTTTCTTTTGTTTCTAATTAGTGCTGTAGAAAACAAAACATCACCACATTCAAAGTTCCAAGAAAGACAGTTCTGGTCAGGCCTAAAGGTAAGCAAAAACTGCAAAAATGAAAAGGCAAATTTTGTAAAAATCCTGTTTACTATAGAACAAAGAACAACAAACTTCTTCTGTAAGAGTTAAATAGTATTTTAGGCTTTGTGGTTCACATGGTCTCTATCAAATTACTTAGCTCTGCCACTGTAGCAGAAAAAAAGAGTACATAAACAGATGAGCATGGCTATGTTTGAATAAAAGTTATAAACACTGAAATTTGAGTGTCAAGTAATTTTCTCATGGTACAAAATATTTTGCTTAAAGACAGGTTTAAAATGTCCTTGAAAAATGTTAAAACCATTCTTAGCTTACGGGTCCTACAAAAAACAGGCGACAGGCTAGATTTAACCCACATGCTATATATAGTTGTCTAACTGCTGGCCTTAAAATTATTGCTAAGTCAGTGGCAGTAGGGATGGGAAGGAGAAGAGAGTTCAAACAATGTTTAGAAGGAAGCTTTGAAAGGACTTGATAATTGATTGAGGGAAGATATATCCGGGACGAATAGAGATACAGAGTTCTAGGAGGTGGCTGGATACATGCGTCTGAATTTCAGGAGACAGATCTGAGCCGGAGATTTGGGAGTCCACTACCTGTAGGCAATATTTGGAGCCATGGTCATGAATGACAAGCTCTAAGGAGACTGAATGAAGCATGAGAAGTAGGCTAAGGACAGAACCTTGGGAAATACAGAACAGAACATGGAGGCTTCAGGGAAACTGTAGAATCAGTTATGAGCCTAAGGATGATCACAAGAAAATGGCCTCAAGGAAGCTAAATGAAAGATTTTCAAGAATGAAGAAAAGTGTGTTAAATGCCAACAGAGAGAATTAAGAGAAAGACTGAAAATGTTTCTTGGATTTGACAATTAGAAGGACATAGGTGACCTCAGCAAGAGTGTTTTAATAGTGTGAATTAATATTTGTCATGGGTTGAATAGGGGAAAAGGCTTTCTGGTAAGAGGGAACAACATCAACAATAGATAAAATGTGAAAAAATATTACATTTTCGTAAAACTAGTAAGTAGCAATACCATAAAATTCACAAAAAGATCTGAATTTAGCAGAGGGAAAGGGCAACCAATATTTATTTTATAAAACTTTGTTTTGGCTACTTAAACCACATTATCTTCAAACTCACAGGTGATTATTAATCTTTATGTATCAGAGCAGTGAAACTCTCAGCATTGATTGCCTTCTCAAGGTCACATGTTGGTAATGTTGTCCCCAGTTTTGACAGTAGTTCTTTATGAATTATGTGGTTCTATGGTCTTAAACTCGATGGCCCCTGGCTCTGAGAGAAAATGGATTGGGAAGGAGGATTATTTATCTGGAAAGGCTTTAGTGAAGTTACTTGAGACTGACTTGGGGATGGTTATCTTAGAAAATGAAAATAAGATGAGCAAATACATGGATTTTGGAAAGAATCAAGTATTTATTAGAGATGGTCTATTCTAAACTCGACAGTTCCAACAGGGCTAATTGTAGTGACAATTTGAGTTAGACCAACTCCTTAGGTTTGTTAGAGACTATTACAGTTTCTTTTTGAAGAAAAGGTACATGTTTACTTGATGTTTTAATTTAGCTCTTCCGCAATATTCTTCTTTGGAATGGACTTCTTACAGATGACACCTTGCAAGAACTAGGACTAGGGAAGCTGCTAAATCGTTACCTTATTATAGCTCTTCTCAATGCCACACCGGGGCCAGATGTGGTTAAAAAGTGCAACCAGGTAAGTTGTGTAGGAACTGATTCTAATTTTATCATTTCTAAAAAAAATTAGCTATTAAAATCTATTAGTTAGCAAAATAATTAAATGTGTGGTACTCATATAAAAATAGACAAATGAATTTAACAAACTAGAAATCCAGAGCACCTCTTCCACATTTAAGAAATACTATACTGGTTTGAAAAGGAAAAATTACGTCATAAATGATGCTAGATGGCTGGCTGTTTACGAAAAGAATGTTAGATCCTCACCTCTAACTACACACCAATAAAAATTTCAGATAAAATTTTTAAAAATATAAAAATGAAACTGTAAAATATACTGAGTGGTAAATGACTGTGTTTGAGAGTGAGGGAGTTCCTTCTAAACTTAAAGACAAAAGGAGAAATTCTGAGAAAAAGTAATAGACTTGACAAAAAATATAAAACTTCAGTGGATCAAAAAACATAAAAAGGAAATAAAACATAAAACTGGGGAATGTGTGCATTGGGCTCACTGTACTATTCTTTCTACTCATGTTTATGTTTGAAATTTTCTGTAATAGAAAGGTAAAAAGAAAAGTTAAGAATCTAGGAAATAAAAAGTTATTAACATGTAACAAAGATTAATATTCACATTAAATAAAAGTTTTTTACAAATTACTAAATAATTCAAATGTTCTGATTAAAAATGGCCGAAACACGTGCAACAGTCAAGTCACCTAAAAGGATATGTAAAATTAACCTTAAAATATGTGAAAAATAATTAATAGTACTAATAATCAGAGAAATGAAAATTATTTATAATAAGGATATTTATGAGTTGTGTTGGCAAACATTTTTTTGCTGTTGTTTTAATTATAATTTCCAGTGTTATCATAAACAGAGGAAAACAATTAGTCCATCATTGCAGGGGCACCATTCATCTAGAGTATGCAGTGCACTGGTTCTAGAAAAGTCTCCTGCACTGGTAGAAGAAAGGATACAGCTCTTTTGAAGAATATTTTGGCATGATGGATACAAAACTTTTAAGCTTATATTCTTTGGCTTTGCAAAACGAAGTCAAAAATTAGAGAGGCACATATAGATTTTAAGTATAAAGAATATTGTTATAGCATTATTATAATAGAAAATAGTTGGAAATACCTAAATATCCCTAAAAACATGATGGTCTTCTCATAAGATAAAAATATGAAAGGAAAATAAATCTCAGGACCTGTCTTAGATACTTTCGGGTTCACAAAAGTTACATTTTTGAAGAATTTTTAAGAATATAGGGAAATACTTATTTTATAATATGATTTAAACACATACACACACACACAACTGTTCCTAGGTAGAATAGGGTACAGCTGCTTGTTCTCACAGTCCAATAGCAAGATGCAGACAGATTGGGAAAGAAGGGAGCTTATTTCTGCAACCAGTTATAGAGAAAAGGTTTTAGTAACTCACCAGACCAACTGAAAGTTACAAGTTTGTTTTTTTCAGCGCTTGTATGCATTCTAAGCTCCATGCTACTTGTGAGAGTGCACCTACAATTGAGAGTGTTGCATTCAGTATATATCTAATCTTTAGGGTCTGGGGTATGGAAAGCTTTGTCTGGAGTATTGGAAAGTTTTTTAATCTTAAGTGGGCCCTGGTACGAGGAGTATGTGTAAGAACACTTTTATTTGATCAGACTTTAAGGTCTGGGAAAACCCAGGCGGGGTCTTAATGGGTTTGTTTTTGCATTCCAGCCAGCCCTTGTACTTAGGCACCAATTTCTCCTGTTCTTTAATGTTTAACTTACACATTCATCAAAATTACAGAAAAGGGTTAGTAGAAACTGATTCTTCTAGTTGCTAATGGAAATCTAGCCTGCCATGAAACTATATATCAATTATTAGCCAACCATGATTGTTCTGGCTATAGTTTTTATATCATACAGTTTTAAGCATTACATATTGAAATTTTAAATAATCATCCATGTTATGTTGTTCAGGTTTAGTTTAGTCACCTCTGACCATAGGGTCTATTACGAAGTGGAGAAGAAGAAATACATTTACACAGCATTCTCTCCACAGCATATGGTTAGAAAACCAGGCCAAGAAAATAGATTTTTAGTGCTGGGATCACTAATGGAAAAATTAAATGGTTAAATGAGAATTTTATTGAGACTTGTGATACAAAACAAGAGGAAAACAAGTGCAAGTGGCATTGAATTCCAAGCCAGTAAAGGCTGGTTTTAAAACTTTTAAAAAGAGATAGTTTGTATAACAAAACTTGTAGGATCTTCTGCCTTAGGCAGTCAGTGTGTCTGTATTTTTCCTGAATAGTTGAAACAGGTGATTAAGGAATAGAATAAGTCTTTTTCCTCAACCATGTTTTAAATGCCAACCAACCTTAGAAAGAGCACATTCTAGAACTTTTATTTATGTTATATATAGGGTGCATATTAATTTTTTCCCCAACTCTCTATTTTCTATAAATATTGATCTTGTTGTTACCAACTGTAGCATAGTCTGTGTGATTGTCTAGGAATTTCTTTGAACAGTGTGATATTGTGGCAGGCCATGTTTCCATTAGCAAACAGAACAGTAGGTTTCCACAAACCCATTACTATGATTTTTATGAATCCATAAGCTAACATTAAAAAACTGGAGAAACTGGTACCTGAGTACAAGAACTGGAATGCAAAAACCAACCCATTAGACCCTGCCTGGGTTTTCTCAGACCCTAAAGTCTGATAGAATAATAAAAGCATTCTTACACATACACCTCATTCTGTCGTAAGAAACTTTCCAAGACTAGAGAAAGCTTTCCAGACCTTAGTCCCTTTAAAGATTAGACAGAGATTGAATGAAACACTCCCAGTTGCAGGTACAATCCCACATGTAGCATGGGGCTTTAAATATATACAAGCACTAGAAAAAAGCTTATAACTTTGAGTTGGTCTCGTGAGTTACTCAGACCTCCCTGTAACTAACTGGTTGCAGAAATAAACTCCCTTCTTTCCCCATTGTCTGCATCTTGTTTTTGGATCTCAAGAACAGGCAGCCAGACATTGTTTTCTCAGGGAACAATGAGTTTTTCCTTTCTCCCCTTTTCCCTCTCTTTTTTTCTCTTGGTTCTGCTATGAGGAAGCTTTTTTTTCTTTTAACATTTTTCTAACATTCTTTCAAAACTTTTCTCAAAACCTTAAATTATTCTTAGGATGACATTGATAAAATGTAATTTCTATTTCCAAAAGAAAAATTGAATGAACCTACATTGATTCATTTTGCCGTTTACACTTAAAGCAATGTTGTAAATTGATAGGAGATAACCATAATTAATTTCTTTCATTCTGTATATCTTCCATTTGATTCCTTAACTCTTAATTTATACAGATCATTTGCTAGGCCACCCAGTTTCTTTATAAAATAATAGTGAACGTATGTATTTTAGAGTTGTATTGACGAAATATTTTTCGTCTAGACATTTCTGGGTTTTAGTTGTAAATTATGTTTTGTACAGATTTCATGACTCACAAATACAAGAGTATAGAATTACTAGCACTTCTAGGGAATGTTCATAGAGAGTAGTATATTTTAAGTTCTTACCATTAAAGAATGAATTTTTAAAACATAGCCTTTAACTCAAAGGGAAATTTTTACAAATTTTTATTTAACCATCAACTACAAAATGGGGAGAATGATACTCAGCTTGCAGTATCACTATGAGATTCTGTTAGCAAGAGTTCTTAGATAACTGTCCTTGTAAACCAGCCATGTGTTTTAATTAACAGGTGGCAGCATGTTTACCAGAAAACTGGTTTGAAAATTCTGCCATGAGGACATCTATTCCACAGCTAGGAAACTTCATTAAGTTTTTATTGCAGTCTGCACATAAATTATCTAGAAGTGAATTCAGGTAATGCATATTTTATTTTCACCTCTATAAACATAGTTCAAGTATTCTGTATACTCTCTGCAATTTTTAGAAAGATTTGTATTTTTACTATAATTTTTAAAATATGTTGAGACTTTGTGATACTGTAGGGTTAGTAGATATTTTTGTGGTGACCTTTGGGCTGGCTTATGTATATTCATATTTTAAAACGTAAATCTCTCCCATATTAAACACATTCAAAAAACTGTAGCACAGGGGAATATAGAATTAAAACTATAAATCAAAAACCTTTTATTAAGCACTTTTTAAATGTGCTTTTAATTTTCTTGACCATTTTTAAAGACTCAACAGTTGTTAAGTACAGGTCTACAGCTTGGTATTTATCCAGCAGTAGCTAGCTGTCTGTTCTGAATGTTTCATTCACAGCACCAGATGTTCAGGGGCTTAAACACAGTGATATTCCTATTAACTACCTCTTCATAAAAAATTATTAAGCCCAGATTTGGCTGGGCACAGTGGCTTACATCCGTAATGTCAACACTTTGGGAGGCTGAGGTAGGAGGATCACTTGAACCCAGGAGTTTGAGAACAATCTGGGAAATGGAAACATAGCAAGACCTTGTCTCTAGAACAAAAAATTAAAAAATTAGCCAGGCATGGTGGCACATGCCTGAGTCCCAGCTACTGAGGATGCAGAGGTGGGAAGATTGCTTAAGCCTGGGAGGTTGAGGCTGCAATGAGCTCTGATTGTGCCACTGTACTCCAGTCTGGCCAACAGAGCAAGACCAAGTCTCTTCAAAAAAATAAATAAAAATAAAGGCTCAGATTTGTATTATTTGCTAATGTCATGATGTGTGTATACGCTCCCACCATTGCTCCCACCACAGTGTCTCATAAAAGCTGATAGCAACACAGCACTACTAAAATTTCTGATGATAGACTTACTTATGGTCTTCTACTTTTTACAGTAATTCACATTAGAATTTGCCAGAATACATCCACTAATGGTCTATATTTGAACTTTATACTTAATTGGAGATGGCAGCATCTCTCTGTATTTTATGCTACTTTTAGATATTGGCTTAAGGGTAAAGCTTTTGTTTTAGATTAACAACAGATGATTAGGTTCTGAATTGACCACTGTTCCCTCATACATTGCATTTTTAAAGGGAGAAATTTGTTTTTGTGTTGTTTTTTCAGGGATGAAGTTGAAGAAATAATTCTTATTTTGGTGAAAATAAAAGCTTTGAATCAAGCAGAATCCTTCATAGGAGAGCATCACCTAGACCACCTTAAATCACTAATTAAAGAAGATTGAATCAATTTTATAGGAAAATGCTAAAATTTTAATATGGTTACACTGAATTCCTTTGCTTGAGAAGAAGCTGGTGCCTCTTCTTTCTTCCCTGTAGTAGAAGGTAGGATTTGCAAAAAAGTAAGACTCTACCTCTACATTCTCCCCATGCTTTACCTTCTGGCATCATGAAAAGCTGCCATGATTCTGTGGTGTTCTAAGAAATTAAATTCACTGGAGCATTAAGAGGTCAACATGTTTCCCTTTGATTTTTTTGGCTGGTCTTTCAATTTTCTTAAAAGGGGAACTGGAGGAACTTTGCCATAGCTTAGGTGAACCATAATAACATCTTTTAGTTTTCTTTATTTTAACTACCTTTATTTAAAAATAAATTAATATGAAAAGCTCAGTTGGAGTAAACTATTTCCAAAGTATAAATGAGTAAGGCATTTGCTGATTATCAGATTGTCCTTTAGAAATCTGTACCAATTTAATGTACCCAACATAAGTGTGAGTGAGTGCCAGTGAATCCCTACCAGCAATAAGTATTACCATTTTTTTAAATGCATTGAAAATTAGATAGGTAAAAATAATCTTATTTTAATAGTTTATTTTGTTGTGGCTATTAGAGAGTGAACATACAGGTTTTGGCCATTTGTAATTATTTTTGAAATATCCATCTTTTTCTTGTGGACTTTAAGACCTTTCTATTTCTAAAGATATTGATCTTTTGCCCATGCTATGTGGCAGTTTTCCTTATTTGCCATTTCTTTTAATTTTTTCTTTTATTTTTTGAGACAGAGTCTAGCTCTGTCACCAAGGCTGGAGTGTAGTGGCACTTTCTCAGCTCACAGCAACCTCTTCCTTCTGGGCTTAAGCAATCCTCCCACCTCAGCCTCTCAAGTAGCTAGGACTACAGGCATGTACCACCATGCCCAGCTGATTTTTGCATCTTTTTGTGGAGAAGGTGTTTCGAAACATTGCCCAGGCTGGTCTCAAACTCCTGATTTCAAGCAGTCTACCCACTTTGACCTCCCAAAGTGCTGGGATTACAGGCTTGAGCCACCATATTTGGCCTTTCTTTTAATTTTTTTTGATGTTTTTTGTTGCATTAAGTCATTACTTGTTAGCAAGTTACTACTTTTTTTTTTTTTTTGTCATTGGTAGGACTGAAAGGGAAACAGGTATTTTAAATACTCAGAACATGTGATTCCTTTTTTGATAAAATATTTGTCTAATAAGACTGAGGCAGGATAATTTAATCAAAAGAAATTAAGAAAATTTTCTAAAATGTTAGTTTACTAGTAATTTTGCTAAGTCTACTTATTAAGTATCTTAATGGAAACTGTAAATATATTTTGCAAATTATTGCCCAAAAATAATTGGAAAAATTTGATTATATTGTAGGATTTGAATATATTGCCGACTTTTATGTCACCCCCTAGGTATGTCATACCTTCAAAACTGAGTATAATTTATTTTAGGAGTTGAGTGTGTTATGTCTATTGCAGTGAGTACTTGTGATTCACTGAAGAATTTTTTAATGTTTATATTAGTTACACAAATTATACAAGAATAGAATCTCATCTAGAAAATCAAACCATTGTTGAAAAGCAGTTAGCATTTCTGCACAACTGTTGTCCCCAGAGGTAACTGCTGTTTTCATTTTAATGTTATCCTTTCAGACCTCTTCTCTATTTACAAAAATGTTATGTGTTTTTATGTGTACATAAAGTTTTGGGGTTTTTTACATAAGTAGCAGATACTTTATTGCATATGAAATTTGTAATTTTTTTCTATTAAAATACGCATTTGGAAATTATCATCTGACTTCTGGATTTTTAACTAAAGATATGTTGGATATTTCCTTTATATTTTTAAGTTCAGCAGAGAAACCTTCCTTTTTGTGGAAGAGAAAATATTAAAACTGCTTTCAAAATTACAGATTGACTTAAACTGCTGTAGTAATTTTCAATTAAATTTCATTATACCTGGAGTTTGAACCTCAAGGTTTTTATCTGTCATATACTATAATTCAAAAATTTACCTAAATCTCAATGGAAAATTTTTTTTTTCTTATTACTGAGAAATGGATGAAATACAGAGGGATAACACGACTAGCAAGAACAAAAAATTGAGTTGGCAATTCATACCACATCTTAATCTTTCCCTGGATTTTTTTCAGCTTTTTGTTCACATAAAGAATGTGAAATTTGGCTGGGCACAGTGGCTTATGCCTGTAATCCCAGCACTTTGGGAGGCTGAGGCGGGCAGATCACCTGAGGTCAGGAGTTCATGACCAACCTGACCAACATGGAGAAACCTCGTCTCTACTAAAAACACAAAATTAGCCAGGTGTGGTGGTGCACATCTGTAATCCCAGCTACTCAGGAGGCGGAGGCTGGAGAATTGCTTGAACCCTGGAGGCGGAAGTTGCGGTGAGCCGAGATCGTGACATTGCACTCCAGCCTGGACAATAAGAGCAAAACTCCATCTCAAAAAAAAAAAAAAAAAAAAAAGTGAAATTTTTACAGAATCAGACAGATGACTTTAAAGAAATTTTTTTCATGACGGAAAAACTACCTCAAAACAATCGATTTTTGCATTTCTGAGGTCCTTGACAAAATGATACTTAGATATGCCTAAGAAATGCCATGTGACACAAATCCTGAAAAAGACATCATGAGAAAATAACAGCAATATCTATCATGAACATAGAAATAAAACTCCTTAAAATAGTTAGCAAATCCAATCCAGCAGTTTACAAAAAACATGATAATATGTCATGACCAAATAGGGTTTATTCCAGGAAAGTAAGGTTGGTTTGACATTAGAAAGTCAACCAGTGTAATCACTTATAAACAGAATAAAGGAGAAAATCCACATCTCAATGACTGTACCAACGAATCATCTCTATTACTACAAAAAAGCGTTTGACAAAATTTAGCACCCCCTGAGACTACAAAAACCTTTCAGCAAATTAGGTATCTAAATTCCTCAATCTGATAAAGGGCATCTGTGAGAAAAGTCTATAGCTAACATCATATATAATGGTGAAATATTAAAGCAAGCATTTCTGCTCTCACCATTTTCTGTTCAGTATTCTTCCAGAAGACAGTCATACAATCAGTTAAGAAAAAAGTAGGCATAAACATTGAAAAGAGTTAAGATAGTCATTAGTCCACCAGATGCAGTGGCCCAACCTATAATCCCAACACTTTGTAAGACTGAGCTGGAAGGATCATTTGAGGCCAGGAGTTCAAGATCAGCCTTGGCAACAAGCTTGTTGTAAACATTAAGAGAAATGAAATGTCTTGCACAGCATCCAGCAAATAGGAGCCTTCTAATGAGGCAGAATAGCCTATCCCTGAAAAAGTGAAAGATACATCATTTTTCTAATCCTTCTAATAGGATAAACTAAGTTTTTGATCTTTCTTGAGTTATATAAAAGGCTCAGGGAATTATTTCTTTTAAGCTTATAACTTCCCATCACAACACTACAGGGTAGGTTAGAAAATATATACACTTGAACAGCATGGTGGAGCAGGCACATTCAACATCAGAAACACTGAAAAACAAGCAGGGGCTGGGTGTGGTGGCTTACATCTGTACTTGCAGCACTTTGGGAAGTTGTTGAGAGGATCGCTTGAGGCCAGGAGTTTGAGATCAGCCTACTCAGCATAGTGAGACCCCATCTTTAAAAAATTAAAAAAAAAAAAAAAAAAAACAGGAACAGGCATAGCCAGTTTTGTCAGAACTCTGGAAAACAGTAAAACGTTTATAGCAATGAAGCAAATGCTGAATCAAGAAGACGCAACTTTAAAATGGTGAGAAAGCTTTCTGACATTCCTGCTCGCCCTTAGCCCACAAGCTCCCTGGTGTTGCAGCAGTCTTGAAAACAGCAACTACATTGTGTTGGACCCTGATTCCCATTTCTAGAGAAAGCAGAGCAGAACTTAGAAATTCTTAAGTCTCTTGTAGCCTGTCTGGAGCTGCTCAAAGGATTGACAGAGCACTCATCACTGTTTTACCTTAGAACTCAGGCCAGAAAAAGTAGGCATCGCTTGAAAAAAGTGTAAGGTGAACAAACAACCTGCAAACACCTGGGTCGAAAGACTATAGTCAAGATACCCAAAAATCCATCTATGTTCTGGGAGAAAAGGCTACAAAGAGGAGTTTCTTTGGGAAATTAGAATATTCAACAGCTCATACAGGGAGATTTAGAAAACCACCTGCATACACAGCAAGAAGTATGCTCAGACAAGACATGCAAAGACCCTACACTTTTGGGGCTGACTGCTAGGCTCAGTACAAGCCTGGCTAAGTATTGAGGGAACAGCCCAGCACAGAACCAATCTGCAAAAACTGGAAAGACTGGGAGAGATGTTAATTAACTAGCTTTAACTCCTTTATTTTAGAAATAAAACATGACATTATCTAGCAATTCCACTCAAGACATATACCCAAAAGAACTTAAAAACAGGCAATCAAATACATACTTGTTATGTCAATATTTACTGCAGCATTATTCACAATAGCCAAAAGGTAGAAATATCCCAATGTTCAACAGAAGATGGATGAATAAACAAAATATGTATACCTACAATGGAATATTAGTTATAAAAACGAATGAAATTCTGATACATGCCACAATACGGGTGAATCTTAAAAACATTATGCTATGTGAAATAAGACAGACACAAAAGGACAAATATTGGATGATTCTGCTAATAAGTATCTATAATAGGCAAAGTAATAGGAGGTAGATTCAACCAAGCACAGTAGCTCATGCCTATAATCCTAGCACTTTGAGAGGCCAAGGTGGAGGACTGCTTGAGGCCAGGAGCATGAGAAACATAGCAAGACCACATCTCTACAAAAAACAAAATCAGCCACATGTGCCTGTAGTCCCAGCTACTCAAGGAGGCTGAGGTGGGAGGATTGCTTGAGCCCAAAATTTTGAGGCTGCAGTGAGCTATGGTCACACCATTGCACTCCTACCTGGGCGATGGAATGAGACCTTATCCCAAAAATAAAAGGAAAGATTTGAGGTTACCTGGGGCTGGGCAAGATACAGGAGTGAGGTTATTGCTTAACAGTTATAGAATTTCAGTTTGGGGTGATGAGAAAATTTTGGAAATAATTTCACAACACTGTGAAGATAATTAATGCCTCTGAATTGTATATTTCAAATGTTTACAAAGGCAAAATGTTATATATGTCCTACCACAAGAAAAAAGCGTTAGACTATGCACATTTAATTTTATTTCTGGGGGAATATTTGTAAGAATTTTAAAGATATTCCTAGAGTAAAAAGCACAATTATTTACATGTTTTGAGCACCTGTACTTACATTTGCAGAGCTTTAGATGCTGAAATATACCCATCTACCATTCTACTAAGGTTGACGTGCTTATCAAGGCAGTAAAAGAACGGGTTTTAATAGCTATCTTCTAACAAGATAAAGAGAAGAAAAGTATAAGATATAGCTCGTTAATCTTTTATTTTGAGAGGTTCTTTTTAGAAGTTATCTCAACAAATAACCTAAACAAGTGAAGGATAGGTTATCTGTCACTTGTTGACAGCAGTTAGATGACTATATAATCATTAGTGAAAAAGATGAAGGAAGCAGGTGAAAGCTGCTGACAGACCCCTCCAAGGAGATTGGAAGCCTCTATTCTAGAGAATCTGACCAAACCAAAACATTCATGTGGAGGAGGGGACTCCCAAAAAAGCCCATTCAGATAACCCTAAAGACAACCCCTTCCCACAAGTCCAAGGCTTTCCAAGTTTTTTAGTCCTTCATTCAACCATAAGAAGACAGCCAAGGATTGCCAGATATCCTGGAAAAGCCTGAAATATAGACAACAAAAATAAATACAGAAAGAAATTTGGAGGAAACAGATATGCAAACTATTTTAAATGAAAAAATACAAACACTATAATGAATCACCTTATCTATGAACAAACCCATAGATAAAGGCTTTTTGGTTATAAGAAAAGAAACTTTCACAAAGCAAGAAGGGTTCTTAAGATTTAAAAATAGCAAAGAGTCGGAAGATGGAGCTAAAGAGCTAAAAAACAAGAGACTGGGGTCGGGGAGGGAGGTAAGAAAACAGATACCCAGTGCTGGATATCCAACATCCAAATAAGTTTTGAGAACAAAGCAGCAGAGAATAAATCATCAACCAATGCTAAACGTTTCCCAAATCCGACAGAAATGAATTACTACCTTGGAAAGATTCACCTGAAGCGCAATAAAATGGATAAATATAGACCCACACCAAGGCACATCATCATGAAATTTATATGAGAAACAGAAATCAAAATGGCTTTGGATTTCTCAATACAACAATGGAAATTAAGAAAATGGAGCAACAATATTTTTAAAGTTCTGAAGGAAAATTACTTCCCACCTAAATGTATAAAGTATCAATCAAACATGAAAGACATGCAAGGTCTCAAAAACTTTACCACCACACAAACTTCCTCTAGAAGCTACCAAAGGATGTGATCCAACAAAACAAGTTAGTACTCAATAATGGAATCTAGAAAGCAGCTGAGCGCAGGAAAGAAGTTAGTCCTAAGACAGCTAGGAACCAGAGGGCAGATCTGAAGGTAACTCAATGGACAGGTTGAGAGTTGCCTGCAAGATTTAGGATACTACTATACTTTTTAACCTGAGCAACAGTATGCTCTGGTGAATATGGACCAAATTATATGCTTTTCTTTAGAATGTATGATTATATCCTAGCTTTCCAATCTATGCTGTATGGATCAGCAACAGCACTCATATCATCCTAAAGGTACTGTTTTGACCTA